TCTGGATGTAGGTGAACTGCAACTCTGAAGCTCAAGAGCAATGCCCACCAGAACCTTCCAATATTTTCTGTTAGTTCTGTGTGACAAGTTTGGTTCAATTCCATCATTGGTGGAGTTCTGAATGCTCTTTGATTGTAAGTGAACTATAAATCCCAGTAACTAAAACTCACAAATGACAAAATCAATCCCCTCAACCTTAAGGTAAGGTAAAGGTTGTCCCCTGACATTAAGTCCAGTCATGTCTGACTCTGGGGTGTGGTGCTCATCTCCATTTCTAAGCCGAAGAGCCGGCGTCGTCCGTAGACACCTCCAAGGTCATGTGGCCAGCATGACTGCATGGAGCGCCGTTACCTTCCCCCGGAGCGGTACCTATTGATCTACTCACATTTGCATGTTTTCGAACTGCTAGGTTGGCAGAAGCTAGGGCTGACAGCGGAAGCTCACGCCGCTCCCTGGAATCGAACCTGCAACCTTTTGGTCAACAAGCTCAGCAGCTCAGTGCTTTAACCCACTGCGCCACCGGGGCCCCTCAACCTTACCAGTATTAAAATTTGGGCGTATTGGGTATCTGTGCCAAATTTGGTCCAGTGAATGAAAATACATCCTGCCTATTACGATCCATAACAGTAGCAAAACTACAGTTATGAAGTAGCAACAAAAATAATGTTATGGTTGGGGGTCACCACAACACGAGGAACTGTATTAAGGGGTCAGCATTAGGAAGGTTGAGAAACACTGCCTTACCTCAATGTTGGGGTCATGAAAAATTTGTCAACAGAAAAGGGTTTCTGAATGCCACCTAGTGGCTATTTTTGACATTTATACAAAGCTGTGCAGTGTTTACAGTGGACTCTGAAGAAAATGCCTCAGCTGTACTTCATAAATCAGCCTGTTTAGCAAACCTTGCAAATGCTGGTTTAGTCTCAGTATCATTTGGGTTTTTTTAAAATAAAAAATGTAAAAAGTTCTAAGGCCAAAAGGGGTCTTAAGTGGAAAGGTTTAAGAAGCTTTACTCTAAATACTCTTTTGATAAGAGTATCTTCCACTCTTTCCTGACCTAGCCAACAGAGCAAATAGGGAGGAATTATGGCATCTTTAGGCATCAAATCTTAATTGATCCTGGAAACTAAGCATCAGCTTGGTTGGTAATTGGATGGGAGACCAATAGATGCCACATTTCAGAAGGAACTGCCAAACCATTGTGTATTCCTTGGCTAAAAAAAATATGAACTGCCCTGATAACTTGAACCACATACACACACAAAGACACCAGATTTATCTGATTTTGGAAGTTAAGCAGAATCATCTTTGATTGCAAATTGGATGGGAGACCACTGAATGCCATATTTAATTGCTCTCTTTCGAAGGCAGAAATGGGCAGAATTCTTTGTCTAAGAAAATATTAGGAATTTCATTGCGTGGCCATACATCAACTGGACTTGAAGGCACAAACACCCAAGGTCTCACATCTTGCCTGAACTTCGAAGCTAAGCAGGGCCAGCCTTGGTTAGTCCTTGAATGGGAGACTGCAAAACAAATCTTGGGTGCTTTCGGTTATATCGCAGAGGGAGGAAGTGGCAAAATGTAACTTGCTTAAGGGTGAATCAACAGTGCAGAATGAATGTAGTTTGACAACACATTTATTGCCCTGACTATGTTCTGGAATCCTGGGTTATAGTTTGAAAAGGTCTTCTGATGTTTCGCCAAACTACAACTCCCATGTTTCCATGGCATTGAACCATAGCAGAATATTATTTATTGTCGAAGGATTTCATGGCTGGGATCACAGGGTTGTTGTAGGTTTTTTCGGGCTATATGGCCATGTTCTAGAGGCATTCTCTCCTGACGTTTCGCCTGCATCTATGGCAAGCATCCTCACAATAGGTTCTTGTGGGTTTTTTTCGGGCTATATGGCCATGTTCTAGAGGCATTTCTCCTGACATTTCGCCTGCATCTATGGCAAGCATCCTCAGAGGTAGTGAGGTCTGTTGGAACTAGGAAAAAGGTTTATATATCTGTGGAATGACCAGGGTGAGACAAAGGACTCTTGTCTGCTCCAGCAGAGAAGAGCTCTTTGCCCCATTCCACAGATATATAAACCCATTGTCCTAATTCCAACAGACCTCACTACCTCTGAGGATGCTTGCCATAGATGCAGGCGAAACATCAGCAGAAATGCCTCTAGAACATGGCCCTATAGCCCGAAAAAACCCACAAGAACCTAGTGATTCCAGCCATGAAAGCCTTCGACAATAATTCACATCCTCTGAGGATGCTTGCCATAGATGCAGGCGAAACGTCAGGAGAGAATGCCTCTAGAACATGGCCCTATAGCCCGAAAAAAACCTACAACAACCCAGAATATGATTTCATGACAAGCCTTTCCTTTGGATTGACCCATATAAGAAACCCCGCCCTCCTGCCCTAAGCCCTGCCCATTCCCTGGATTGATCGTTTGTGTGCCATATAAGCTTCGCCCCTTCTCTTAAGCCCCGCCTCCTGCGGGTGACTCCTTGTAGACCAGAAGCGTCATGGAGGCGGGACCTTCAGCTCAAGCCACGCCCACCATCCTAAGCCACGCCCCTCTTTCGGATAGATCCTTACGGACCAAAGCTGCGAGAGCCTTGTCGGATAAGTCCCGCCCATTGCTTCAAGCCACGCCCACAAACCTAAGCCCCCGCCCTCTTGTTCGGATTGAGGCTTTTGTACTCCGCTCGCTGGACCAGAAGCCATGAAGAATACGGGAGCTACACATAAGCCACGCCCACCTGCCCTAAGCCACGCCCCTTCCTTGGCGATTGATCCTTTTCTGCTCTTGCGGACCGAGGGAGCCCTGCCTGAGGAGCCCCGACTTCCACCCCAGGCCACGCCCACCAGACGAAGCCACGCCCCCTCCGGATTTATCCTTTTCCGCCCTCTCCTTGGGATTTCTCCTTTTGTGCTCTGCTGCCTATAGGACCAGAAGCCCCGCCCACCGCTCTAGGCCCCGCCCTGAACACATAGCCACGCCCCACCACTTTTCTTGCCTGATAAGCCCCGCCCACCGCGCCAGGCCCCTCCTCCTTTGGATGGATCCTTTTGTGCTGTGGAGCAGAAGCCCTGCCGGACAGGCCCCGCCCCCTGGCTAAGCCCCGCCCCCTCTTGGGCTGGATCCTTTTGTGCTCCGCGGCGGTGCCATGGAGGAGGCGGAGGCGGGGCTCCTGGGGGAGTCTCTGCGCTGCCCGCTCTGCCGGGACCTCTTCCGCGACCCGGTGCTGCTCTCGGGCTGCGGGCACAGCCTGTGCCGGGCCTGCCTGGCCCACTGCTGGGCTCCCCTGGCCAGGCGCCTGCGCTGCCCGACCTGCCGGGAGCCCCTCCCGCTCCAGGGGCTCCTCCAGCCCAACCCGCTCCTGGGGAGCCTGGCCCAGCGCCTCCGCCGCTCGGGAGCCCCAGCAGAAGCCCCCACGGCCCCGGGTTCGGACCCCAGGATCGCGGCAACAGCGGCAGCGGGGGTGTTTGGGGGAATGTCTGTGAGCAAGAGGATGGGGGGAATATATATATATATATATATAAAACGGGGGTCTGGGAGGAGGAGGGGGTTGGTGGGAGTTGTAGTCCATCACATTTGGGGAGGGGCTTCCTATGACAGTTGCCCCTCCCTCTCTCTTAAGTATGGTTTTGGAGCTCTTCTCAAGTCCATTGTTATGGTTATTTCACCCTCTCCTCCTCATTCTTCTTCCTCTCCTCATCCTCTCCTTTATTTCCTCTATTCTTCCTTTCCTTACCTCCTCCTTTTATTACCATTTGGAGACCATTTGGGTGGTCCATGCCTTGGTCACCTCCAGATTGGACTACTGCAATGCGCTCTCCGTGGGGCTGCCCTTGAAAACGGCTCGGAAGTTCCAACTGGTCCAACGAGCAGCAGCCAGGATGTTAACTGGGGCCCCTTACAGAGAGAGGTCAACCCTCCTGTTCAAGGAGCTCCACTGGCTGCTGTTTTTTATCCGAGCCCAATTCAAGGTGCAGGTGCTTACCTACAAAGCCCTGAACGGTTTGGGACCACCCTACCTGCGTGGCCGCATCTCCGTCTACGAACCCACGCATTCACTTCGGTCATCTGGAGAGGCCCTGCTCGTGATCCCGCCTGCGTCGCAAGCACGATTGGTGGGGACACGAGACAGGGCCTTTTCCGTGGTGGCCCCCAGACTCTGGAACACCCTCCCCAAAGATCTTAGAAAGGCCCCTACCCTGGCAGTCTTTAGAAAAAACTTGAAGACCTGGCTGTTCCGATGTGCCTTCCCAGAATAGGAAACCTCCAATACCAAGTCCCATAAGCACTTTATTAGAACTAAGATTGCCGCACACTGCACACTGCACTTGCCCTATAAGCCTTATATTCCACCTGTCACATCAGCACTTTTAATCCTGTACCCATTACTCTGGCCAGGCCCAGTTTCATTGTGTTCTAGTGTATTTTTAATTGCTTGTTGTTATATTGCTTTAATTGTTTTTAATTTGCCTTGGGTTTTGTATTGTTATGTTGTGTGTTGAGGCCTTGGCCTTTGTAAGCTGCATCGAGTCCTTCGGGAGATGCTAGCGGGGTACAAATAAAGTTTAATAATAAGAATAAGAATAATAAAGCTGGAATGTGTCCAGAGGAGGGCAACTAAAATGATCAAGAGTCTGGAGAACAAGCCCTATGAGGAGCGGCTTAAGGAGCTGGGCATGTTTAGCCTGAAGAAGAGAAGGCTGAAAGGAGACATGATGAGGGCCATGTATAAATATGCAAGAGGAAGTCATAGGGAAGAGGGAGCAAGCTTGTTTTCTGCTTCCTTGGAGACTAGGACGTGGAACAATGGCTTCAAACTACAAGAAAGGAGATTCCACCTGAACATGACGAAGAACTTCCTGACTGTGAAAGCTGTTCAGCAGTGGAACTCTCTGCCCCGGAATGTGGTGGAGGCTCCTTCTTTGGAGGCTTTTAAGCAGAGGCTGGATAGCCATCTGTCAGGGGTGATTTGAATGCAATTTTCCTGCTTCTTGGCAGAGGGTTGGACTGGATGGCCCACGAGTTCTCTTCCAACTCTTTGATTCTATGATTCTATGTATCTGTTAGGAAACAGAGAATATGCCAGTGCATAAAATAGCGGTTCTTCAAAAGTGTTTTTCAGTGCCCCAAAAATATATCTACTCTTCCATAAAACAACTTGTTTTGTATCATGCACTCAACAGACAAAATGAAGCAGACTTTGGTAAAAATAATAATAATAACATATTTGGTTTATTCTCAACCTTCATGTGTTCGACATACACAGGTACACAACTTATCAGTCCAGTTTCAGATATGTTTAAGATTGTTTCTGTGTGCCGATGGCACAGGGCATCTTTCTTACAATCAACAACAGGCAAAGGTTGGTCTGAGCAGTCCCAAAGTCTAATGGAGTCTGAGTTCAGAGCAATCTCAGAACCTAATCATAAGGTCTGCAGCCCCACCTACACCTTCGCAGGAAACATAGAGCAAGGAAAGAAAGCTGCATAGCAGAACATACATACAATAAGTAAACAACAAGATTCTATAGAAATAAATTACTAGAGGAGGCATGAAGAAGGTTGTAATTTCCAACATTCTCTAATCCTTCTCTTTCTTTTTCTTTCCTTCCTTTTTTCTCATCTCTTCTTCTCCTTTTTYCCCCTCTTCCTATTCATCATCCTATCCTCCTTCTCTTTCTCATCTTCTTTACCTTCTCTTTCTCATCTTCTTTTCCTTCTCTTGCTCTTCCTCTCCTTCCCTTTTCCTTCTCTTCCTCTCCTCTTCTTCTCCTTCATCCCCTTCTCTTTCTCTTTCTCTCCTTTCCTTTTTCTCATCTTCCTCTCCTCTTCCTTTCCTTGCTCTCCTTCCCATCTCCACATCTTGTCCTCATCTTTTTCATCTTCCTCTCCTTCATTCTGTTCTTTTTCTCTTTCCCATCTTCTTTWCCTCCTCCTCTTCTCTTCCTCCCCCTCTTCATAATCTTCTTCTTTTCAAGTCTTCCTTCTCTTTCCAGTCTTCTTCTTTTCCTTTCCTCCTTTTCTTCTGCTCTTCTCCTCCCTCTCCCTCTCTTTCCTTTTTCTCATCTTCTCTTCCTCTCYTTCATCCTCTTCTTCTTCTCTTTCCAGACTTCCTTTTCCTTTCCTCCAACTTTTCTTCCACTCTTCTCTTTCTCTCCCTTTCTCTCACCTTCTCTTTCTCTTTCCTTCTCCTTCTCCTCTTCCTCTCCTTCATCCTCTCCTTCTTCTCTTTCCAATCTTCTTTTCCTTTCCTCCTCCTTTTCTTCTTCTGCTCTACTCCTCCTCTGTCTCTTCCTCTCCTTCCTTTTTTCTCATCTTCTCTCCCCCCTCCTCTTTCTCCATTTCCTCTCCTTCCCATCTTCTTCTCCTTTTCATTTCCTCCTCTTCCTCTCCTTCTTCTCTTTCCAATCTTCTCTTCATTTCCTCATTTTCTTCTTCTTCTCTCCTCCTCCCTCACTTCTTCTCATTCCTCTTTTCTATCTTCTCCTCTTTTCCCTTCTCCACTTCCTCTCCTTCACATGTTCTCTTTTTTCATCTTCTCCACCTCTTCTTCCCCTTATGCTCTTATCCTTTTGTTTATCTTCCTCTCTTTTTCCACTTCCTTCTCACTCCCTCCTTCTTCTATTTATACCCAGTGCAATTTAAAACCTACCAAATAAAGCTCAAACAGCAAGCACAGCTTCTCCTATACATAAAAACAGTATATTGTATATTTTTATTGAATGTCTTCAATGTAATATGTCTATTATTAAAAGCGTGTCTAAAATAGTTAAAACATTGTAAACATATGTTAAAGCAGTAAGATCAAAACATTAAGAACAGCACACTACTTATGCACACACTCACTACAATATACTTTCAGTTTTGTCTTGTTGTGAATGGGTACAGCCTAAATCAGGGATGGAATCCTGCATCTCTGATTCTCTCACAAGTGTTGTGGGACTACGACTCCCAGCATTCATCACCAGCAGGGCTGCTGGGAGCTGCAGTCCAGCAAAATCTGGAGGGCTCACACATAGTCCCCACCATTTATCTAAAAGAGAGTTTTCAAGTTTCTTTATATTTAAACATACCTCTCCTGAATGGATCTGCTAAGTATAATTAATGCATTTTGATGCCACTTTCACTGCCATGGCTCAGTGCGCTGGAATCCTGGGATTTGTAGTTTTCTGAGAGCAGCAGTATTTTATAGAGAAGGTGAATTACATTGTAAAACGCCAACTCCCAAGATTCCATAGCATTAAGCTATGGCAGTTAAAGTGGCACCAAACTGCATTAACTATACTTTACAGATGCACCCTGGGCCACCATTGTTCAATGCACTGGTAAACATTTAAATTACTTCACTTAATGCCTGTCCACTTCTGATGGCATCTTGGGGCAGGTAATTAACTTCTCTCTAAGGATCACTGAACTGGAAGAGATATGAAATTTCTTCCAGGTGATGGGATTGCCGTCTGACCAGAAAAATTGCAGTTGTGATTTTGGCAGCAGCTTGAACAATAGATAGAAATCAGTAGGTGAGGCTTTTGGAGACCAAAATGGACACAATCAGCTACCAAATGCTCAGGAGCAAGTCTTGGTGACAAAACCTACCAGCCTTCTTTGCTGCTGTTTACAAAAATAGCCATGTTGTTGTTTTTTTCCAGGAAGAATTCTCGGAAAATCAGGCTATTTTGGAAAGAGAGAGAGAAACCCAAATTAGTGAAGGGAAGCAAAGGGAGGAACTGCTGGTAAGTATTATTATAATGTTTCCAACCACCTCTCCTTCCCATTATCCTCTCAGCAATCTTATGAAGTAGACTAAGCTATGAGACTATGGGGGTATCTACACTGTAAAACTGATGTAGTTTAACACAACTTTACCTGCAATATTTATTTATTTATTTTATTTACAGTATTTCTATTCCACCCTTCTCACCCTGCGGGGGACTCAGGGCGGATTACAGTGTACATATACATGGCAAACATTCAATGCCATAGACACACAACATATATAGACAGACACACAGAGGCTATTTAACATTCCAGCTTTTTGATGAGGGTATTCTAGCCACCAGGGGTCCATGTGTGACACTGATGAAGTACTTCTTCATTCTTTGCATGCTTGCTGGAGATTTTTACGGTGTCATAAATTAGCTAAATTAGCCTCCCTGCATATGTGGTACCTAAATTTCCTACTTGATAGATGCAACTCCCTTCTGGGCTGCAAAGGTTGACAGCAAGCTACACAAATTGGTTGGAAGCTCACTCTGATACAGGCTGGCTTCGAACTCATGACCTTTCGGTCAGTAGTGATCTTAATATAGCTGACTCCCAGCCAGCTCCGCCACAGTCCCAGTGCTCAATACTTTGGAATCCTGGGATTCATGCTTTGGTGAGGCACCAGACCTTGTCAACTTAGAACTTCCAGAATTCCATAGCATTGAGACATGGCAGTTAAAGAGGTGTCAAAGTGAATTAATTCTACAGTGTAGATCACCCTGTGACTTGCTAGGAGCAATTTTTTTTCATGTCAGGAGTGACTTTAGAAACTACAAGTTGCTTCTGGTGTGAGAGAATTGGCTGTCTGCAAGGATGTTGCCCAGGGGATGCCCAGATGTTTTACCATCCTTGTGGGAGCTTCTCTCCTGTCCCCTCGGGGGGGGGGGGGGGGGGGGGGGGTCAGAGCTGACAGAGGGAACTCATCCACACTCTCCCTGGATTTGAACCTGTGACCTGTCAGTCTTCAGTCCTGCTGGCACAAGGGTTTAACCTATTGCACCACTGGGGGCTCCAATGGCTTTAAATGGGTTCAAATAACAGGAAAGGAGATTCTATCTGAACATTAGGAAGAACTTCCTGACCCTATGACCCTATGAGCTGTTCAACAGTGGAATTCTCTGCCTCGGAGTGTGGTGGAAGCCCCTTCCTTGGAAACATTATTATTATTATTATTATTATTATTATTATTATTATTATTATTTCAAATAGACAAACATTTGTAAGTATTTGTTGCATGCAATACAATACTTTCCAGCTAGTCAATTCTCAGATGTTTTCTTCAAGGGGTCACAGTCTTCTATTTAAATAATACATATAAAGGTATCATAGGCTCTTACTTAACATCTGCTTCCTCCTTGTCTACAGTCTTATAGGATCGTCTATATTCTGAATAGACAAATCAAACAACACACAAGATGCTTTCCCTGGAAACTTTTAAACTGAGGCAGAGTGGCCATCTGTCAGGGATTATTTGATTGTGCTTTTCATGCATGGCAGAGGTTGGACTAGATGGCCCAGGAGGTCTCGTCCAAGTCTATGATTCTATGAATGGAAATTTAGTAGGCGAAGTTTTTCTTTACTTTAGGTTTTTGTTAGGCAAAGCTTCACCTGCTGGATTTCTGCCTAACTGGGGGTTGGGAGGGAGAAATGTAGGTGTTGGGATTTCTCAGGTTTCTTCTTCTTGGTTCTGTGGCTGCAGAAGCAAATGGAGATGGAAGAGCAGAAGGTTATCTGGGAATGGAAGGAGCTGCGAGGGTTCTTGGAAGAGTGGGAAAAGCATTGGCTGAACCATTTGGAAGAGCTCAAGAGAGACGTCCATGGCGGCTACAAACAAGACTCGAACATGGCCAGTGAAGATTCACTCCTACAGGAACTTCTGGGCGAGCAAGAAAGAGAGACGTCGCTGACTCAGTCTTTGCAGGTGGGTCAGTTCACTCAATAATAACACTATGTAACACGATGTTTGTTCCTGGATTAAAAATGTCATTTCCTAATTGGTTCTGTAATAAAAACATGGAAAAAGGGACCACGGTGGTGGAGTGGTTAAACTGCTGAACTTGCTGACTGGAAGGTTGGCGGTTCAAATCCACAGGATGGGGTGAGCTCCCGCTGTTAGCCCCAGCTTCTGCCAACCTAGCAGTTTGAAAGCATGCAAATGTGAGTAGATCAATAGGCACCACCTCAGCGGGAAGGTAAACGGCAATCCATGCAGTCATGTCAGTCACATGACCTAGGCAGTGTCTACGGAAAACGCCGGCTCTTCGACTTAGAAATGAAGATGAGCACCATCCCAGAGCCGGAGATAAAAGGGGAAGCCTTTACCTTTATTTGTGTATCTGTTTCATAGTTTCAAGGCACTGAATGTTTGCCTTTGTGTCTGGTTATGCTGGAATCCACCCTGAGTCTCCTCGGGAAGTACAAATAAATTATTATTATTATTATTATTAAGTTTATTAAACTTGTTTTTGTGGGACATTCTGCAGCACATTTTGCTATAGTTTTTCAATGAATATCTCAACCAATTCAACATGGTTTGTGGCAGCCGCAAAGACAAAGTTTCTGGAATATAACAACTACTTTCAAAATAATTAAACAGGAATAACACGTTCATACCAGGAACAGACATTTTTCCAGATGTCATTACATAGTGTAATGGACTTAAGGGACCAAAAACCTCACCTGTCCTTAGAAGATCTGACTGTTTTGCTAGCACTTTTGTTGATGCTGATGGAGAATCCTATAGAAACTGCCTAGAACTGATCACAGAAATAGATTGTGACAACAGACAGAACATGCTTGTAAAACTTGCAGATTTGTAAAACCTGAAGGTAGCCTGAATGGAGTATTCAGTTTGACAGCCTGTTTCTGTCAAACTGAATACTTTGAGGGCAATGTTGGACAAACATCTAGGAGGCAAGAGCCACATTACTTTTGAGAAAAGATACTTGTGGAATTGAAACCAACAAGTATGCAGGGATGCTCTTTTGTCCTTCCTATGTTGCCTTTTTGTGCTCAGTTGGGTCACATGCCAACCTGTCTTTCTGCGTTTCATGTGTTGGCCATCAATGCTTCACGTTTACACAAATCATCAGCCACTGCTGAAAGGGACAGAGAGTTTCATCTATGCTGATGATCGTGCCACCTGGGGCACGATCAAGCAATGAGCTTTGATATAGCTGAACAGAAGCTCTCCGAAAACTTAGGTGCTATTACTGCCTATTAAAGGGAAAACCAGCAGATTCCTAATCCATCTAAAGTACAGACATATGTTTTTCATCTTAATAATAGACAAGCATCTCGAGCTATGAGGATTACCTGGGAAGGAATCCCACTGCATTGCAGCACACCCAAATACCTTAGAGACCATGCTTACAAGAAGCACTGCTTGACTATCAAGCAAAAAGTGGGCGCTAGAAATAATATCATTCAAAAGCTGAGTGGCACAACTTGGGGATCACAACCAGATACAGTGAAGACACCTGTCCTTGCGTTTTGCTACTCTGCTCCTGAGTATGCATGCCCAGTGTGGAATACATCTCATCATGCTAAAACATGCTGCATTATGAGACATGCTGCATTATCACAGGATGTCTATGCCCAACACCGCTGCAGAAATTATACTGTTTAACTGGTATTGCACCACCTGATATCCACCGGGGAGTAGCAGCCAATAACGAAAGGACCAAGTCATTAACATCTCCGGCCTATCCCCCGTTCAGATATCAACCAGCAAGCCAATACCTTAAATCAAGAAACAGCTTTCTAAGATCTACAGAGATACTCACAGGAACACCTCAGCAAGTGAGAGTCCAAAAGTGGCAGACTAAAACCCAGAACCTCAATCAGTGGCTGATACCAAATGAGAGACTCCTCCCATGGCCCACAGAAGACTGGGTGATTTGGAAGGTGCTGAACAGACTGTGTTCTGGCACCACGAGATGCAGAGCCAACCTTAAGAAATGGGGCCACAAAGTGGAGTTTGCGACATGCGAGTGCAGAGAAGAGCAAACCACAGACCACCTATTCAATGCAGTCTGAGCCCTGCCACATGCACAAATGGAGGAACCTTCTTACTGTGACACCCAAGGCCAGCTTCTGGTCAAAGGAAATCTAGTATAATGCCAAGTTTTTAACTTTGTTTGTGGTTTTTAAAATACATTATAACTGTATTCTCAATCTGCTTCTGACGTGATAAATAAAAAAATGTGTTGACTTGTGGTAACAGCAGAAAGGAGAAAAAAGGTGGTTGAGGACCAGTTTCAGACTTCCTGTTCCTCTAGAACTTTTGCGCTATTTTTTAAATGATAAGACTTATAGAACCAAACAGGATTTCAAGGACCATTGCTGCAACTCTCTGCCAGTGTAGGAATCTCAAATGAAAGAAGATCCACCATCTTTCTTGGTACTCTATTCCAATGTACACAATAAAAAAACCCACCTTTACAGGCACCGTGTTTCACCAGCATCAGAGATTTGTGGCTTTGTGGTCTTGCTTCCTCTTGTGGCATGCACCCACTATCTCTTCTTTTGCTCTTACTCTCTTTGCAGGGTGTTGAAAGCACCAAAAACAGGTACATTTTGAGCTCGTCTGCTAGGTCTGTAAAGTGCAGAGGATGATGGACTTCGGGATCCACTGTTTCCTTTCCTTCCCCAGCATGGAGTATGGAGTGTTAAAGGTAGACTCAGCTGTAGCCGAGCTCAAACAGAGGCTCCACAGGTTCTCCTGGAAGCGGGCCATCCTGCAGGAGACATTGCTGCAGTTCAAAGGTAAGGGTGTTATTGCCATAATAGGGCACTGTGATGTGTTTTTGTGCACACCACAGCCATGTGCTGAGGTGGGAGAGGGGGCTTTGATGTTCCTCTCGAACTTTTGCACCTTGTCCCACACTTGTCTATTTTCTAGCTGTGGTTCTCCAGGAAGAGAGCCTTTTGAACTGTATATGTCAGATAGAGAGGGAAAAAAACATAAAAAGCTCTATCAGGTAACAACTGCGTTATTGTACATCTCAGTGGCCTTGATCGTTAGTCCACTAGAATTTTATTGCTTCATAAATAGTGGCTTTAATCATGATAATACTGTGTAACACAATTTTTGTTCCTGGGTTATAAATGTTATTTACTAATTTGTTCTATTTATAAAAACATGAGAAAAGTTAATTAAAGTGTATTTAAAAACTGTAAAATCATAACAGTAAATAAAGACCAATACTAAAAAAACAAGAGAACTCCAGACAAGAAACAATCAGGTCCAGCCAATCCCTTTCCAACAAAGGATTTCCCCAGGCAGTAAGAAGCCAGACCTTAAAACTGCTAGGCCATTTAATTCTAATCAAGGTAGCCAATTGAAACATTCACACCTACCTCAAACAGACAAGAGTTCTTGCTCCCATTCTGGACATTCCACACACACACACACACCCAACTATCCTAGTTTCCAACAGACCTCAGAACCTCTGAGGATGCCTGCCATAGATACAGGCAAAATGTCAGGAGAGAATGCTCCTGGAACATTGCCCTACAACCCAGAAAACTCACAACAACCCAGGGATTCTGGCCATGAAAGCCTTCAACAATGCAAAAACTTTTTTTGGGACATCCTGTAGCACATTTTGCTATAGTTTTTCAATGAATATCACATCAAGTCTCAATCAATTCGACATAGTTTGTGGCAGTCAGAAAAATGAAGTTTCTGGAGTATAAAAATTACTTTCAAAGTAAGTCCTGCACAATTAAACAGAAATAACACTTTCAAACCAGTAATAGATTTTTTTTCCAAATGTTGTTACACAGTATAATGACTAGGACAAGGATTGGGAAAATGTGGCTTCTGGGACCAGCCTAAAGAGTCCTATGCACAATCTCCCCCCAATAAAAATACCCACCCTGGAGAACTTTTGAAACACCCAGGAGTCATACCAGAAAGGCTGGCAAATCTGACCAGTTTTAGATTGGGGCAGTTTTGAGTTTGGGTTGATCACGTGGCCCTTGCTGCTGCTGCCTTCATATCCTCCATAATGTATCCCCTTGCCTCCCTGACTCTTTTCTTTTCCTCCCCAGAACAACTCCAGTTGGAAATGAATGGCGATACAGGTATGTGGCATTCTGTGATACAGTGACAAGATCACTGTGGCCCAGTATTCCTTTTGATCTCTTTTGCTCTTCTTTATATAAATATGGAAAAGTAACCTGGGGGTTCTTTCTGGGGAAGGAGGACTAGTCCATCTAGGTCAGTGGTTCTCAACCTTCCTAATGCCATGACCTCTGAATACAGTTCCTTGTGTGGCGGTGACCCCCAACTACAAAATTATTTTTGTTCCTACTTCATAACTGTATTTTTGTTACTGTTATGAATCATAATGTAAATATCTGACATGCAGGATGTATTTTCATTCACTGGACCAAATTTGGCACAAATACCCGATACGCCCAAATTTGAATACTGGTGGAGTTGGGGGGGATTGATTTTGTCATTTGGGAGTTGTAGTTGCTGGGATTTATAGTTCACCTACAATCAAAGAGCATTCTGAACTCCACCAATGAGGGAATTGAACCAAACTTGGCACACAGTTGTCCCATGACCAACAGAAAATACTGGAAGGGTTTGGTGGGCAGTGTCCTTTGGTTTTGGAGTTGTAGTTCACCTACATCCAAAGATGACTGTGGAGTCACACAATGATGGATCTGGACCAAACTTGGCACAGATACTCAATACAGTATGCCAAAGTGTGAACACTGGTGGAGTTTGAGGAAAATAGACCTTGACATTTGGGAGTTGTAGTTGCTGGGATTTATAGTTCATCTACAATAAAAGAATCCCTCCAATTATAAAATTGGGTCAAACTTCCCACACAGAACCCCATGACTATTTATTTATTTAGTTGCCCTGGACTATGCTCTAACGTAAGCACTGACTGACTATCACGCAAAAAGTGGGCGCTAGAAATAATATAATATAAAAGCTGACTGGCACAACCTGGGGATCACAACCAGACACAGTGAAGACATCTGCCCTTGCACTTTGCTACTCTGCTGCTGAATAAGCATGTCCAGTATGGAACACACATCACCATGCTAAAACAGTGGATGTGGCTCTTAATGAGACATGCCACATTATCACAGGATGCCTACACCCAACACCACTGGAGAAATTATACTTTTTAGCTGGTATTACACCACCTGAAATCTCCCAGGAAGTAGCAGCCAATAATGAAAGGACCAAGGCAGTGACATCTCTGGCCCATCCCCTGTTCGGATATCAGCCAGCATGCCAACACCTTAGATCAAGAAATAGTTTTCTAAGATCTACAGAGATACTCGCAGGAACACCTCAGCAAGCGAGAGTCCAAAAGTGGCAGGCTAAAACCCAGAACCTCAATCCATGGCTGATACTGAATGAGAGACTCCCCCCTGGGCACATAGAAGACTGGGTGACTTGGAAGGCGCTGAACAGACTGCACTCTGGCACCATGAGATGCAGAGCCAATCTTAAGAAATGGAGCCACAAAGTGGAGTCCACAACATGCAAGTGTGAAAAAGAGCAAACCACAGACCACCTATTACAATTCATTCTGAGCCCTGCCACATGCACAATGGAGGACCTTCTTATAGCAACACCAGAGGCACTCCAAGTGGCTAGCTACTGGTCAAAGGACATTTAGTAGAATGCCAAATTTTAACTTAGTTTGTGTTTTTAAATACATTACAACTGTACCCTCAATTTGCTTCTGACATGAAAAATAAATAACTTAATTAATCCTTTCTTATAATATCCCCTTCTTAACTTCCAGGTTACAGAATAGCATCCTCATTTCAGTCTAAACTAACCAATCATCCCCAAGAAAACAGAGAAGAAACATCTGCAAAAGAGATCCAGGTACCTGATTTTTCAGAGAGCACCAATAGGTCTTAACTCACTGTGTACAGTGCTTAACATGAAGCTTTATGTATACAAAATGTTACCATTTAAGCTTAGAAGAACTTAAATTTGCAGAAAAGAAAAGTCAAGTCTTTGGGACACCAAATAGCCCAATGTGCACAAAGTCTTCTTAGTGGCAGTGGAATGCTTGGTGAATTTTTGGGGTAGAGAAAATACAATGGAATTTACTGGAGGAAATTGTGGCTGAATTGTGGGAGTGAATTGAGGAAGTGAAACATAAATCCCTTGGACTAAATATGACATGCCAGAGTCGTTTAGTTTAGTTCCCATTACACAGCCAAGAATGGTAAAATTGGTGGCAAATTGGTGGCGGGGTGGTGGAGTGGGTGGAGTTAAAGAATAATTGAGTTAGAAGAGACTTCATGGGCCATCCAGTCCAACCCCATTCTGCCAAGAAGCAGGAAAATCACATTCAAAGCACCCCCGACAGATGGTCACCCAGCATCTGTTTGAAAGCCTCCAAAGAAGGAGCCTCTACCACACTCCAGGGCATAGAGTTCCACTGCTGAACAGTTCTCACAGTTAGGAAGTTCTTCCTAATGTTCAGGTGGAATCTCCTTTCCTGTAGTTTGAAGTCATTATTCCTCGTCCCAGTCTCTTTTTGCTTTTTTTCCATGAGTTGTTACATTTGGCATTTGATAGGACCACATTTGGCAACACATAGGGAAAACCCATTCAAAGAAAATGCTTTTTATATGTTGCAGCCTCCAATACATCTTTGGGAAACAAAATTGGCCCCAAAGATGTATTGGAGGCTGCAACATTTAATTGAGGGAATTGAACAAAACTTGTCACACAGAAATCCCATGAACAACAGAAAATACTGGAAGGATTTGGTGGGCATTGATCTTGAGTTTTGGAATTACACCTACATCCAGAGAGTACTGTGAACTCACACAGTGATGGGTCTGGACCAATCTTGGCATGGATACTCGATACAATATGCCCAAATGCAGGCCCGTGCCAGGATTTCGTTTCAGGGGGGGGGGTTTCGGGGGGGGGGGGCTGAGTCTGAGTGAAAGATGGTCTAGCCTAGCAAACCTTTTGTATCATTACCCCAATACCCCCATGCATATGGGATATATTGAGTATGGTGATCAGATCATGATATGAATAAACATAACAGTTTAAATAATGCACCAGTAAGGCCTTTTCGCGAACCACCATGAGAAGTTCGGGGGGGGGGGGCTGAAGCCCCCCAAGCCCCCTTGGCACAAATACTCAATCTGCCCAAATGTGAACACTGGTGGAGTTTGGGGAAAATAGACCTTGACATTTGGGAGTTGTAGTTGCTGGGATTTATAGTTCACCTACAATCACAGAGCATTCTGAACTCCACCAATGATAGAAATGGGCCAAACCTCCCACACATAAACCCCATGTTGGGCCACAGCAACGCATGGCAGGGGATGACTAGTAGTAATATTTATGTTACAGGCAACATTGTATTAACTGTTTTATATTAATAGAGTAAGTGTTGCAAATAATAAGCCATGATAGCATGGAGTGAAATAAGGGGTGAAACCAAATGAATATGTGGTCTTGCTTGAGAAGAGCATAGGCATTTGATGCAGGTCAAGATGCATTGGCTAACATTGTGGAATTTATATGCACAAAAACAAATGCAGTTTTCACATTTCTTGTCAATATTACTTTTCTTAATATTTATGACTGCAGAAAAATACTTCTGAAAACCTTCTGACTGATGGAAATAATAATAATAAAGGGGGGGATATTGCTGCAGCATTGCACACCTTCTGATGTGGGTCTAGATTGTTTTGTCTGACAGTTATTGAGAAGTGCTTGGAAAAAAACACTTTATTGGACCTGCTTCCAGAGTACCCTAGATAGCATGGCTAGGATCTGTTCTGACATTTAGATTCTGGGATTTCAAGTTCAGAGAAAAAGAATATTTCTACACCCTGGTCCTTGAGCATTCCTTATCAAAAATTGAAAATACTCCACAATGTCCACAGCTGTGGTTGGGATACTGATACCTAGTTCTCTGATGATTCAATATACACAATTTTAGTTCCATTCACAACATGATATAATAAAAATATTATAGAAAATATATTCCCACTGTTTGTATAAGGTGTATATCAGTGAATAATGCTATTGCACCACAGGCCTGGAGCCACCTGTGACCACAGCACCACACAAAAGTTCAGAGTATAAGCAAAGAGTTTATTGTAGGAACACATCAAAATATATGAAAAAAGCAGGAATAATAAAAGAAGGGGAATAATTCAAATGTACAGTAATACAGTCCAGGAATAGCCAAAAACCACAAATACAACATAAATCCATGAATAAAAGGGATACTTAGAAAAACTTAAGCACGAATAATGTAACAAGAATATAGAAAACTTCCAAGATACTTGAATCCAAAATCAAGACTTGACTTGACCAGAGACTCAGGCCTTGTTTCTAACTCAAAAGCCAATATTGCCTGAAATGACTGTAAGGTAAACACTGGCTGTTAATAAGCAGTCCTGAAATCATGTTGTTTCCCACAAATTTTCTCTATCTCCTTCCCACAAAGTCTCTGGGACCTATGGAACCAATTCTCTGTTCTTATGTGTAAACAAAGATTCTTGCTTATCTCTGTAACACCAGGTGCTTTCCCTTGAGTGTTTTTCATTTCACTTAATTCTTCTTCACTCAAACCCTGATCTAATGATGTTGTTTCTGGCTCCTGTAACTGACCTTGGAGCTCAGCACTGTCCAAGTCAATTTCATTTCCCTGGCCTGAATCTTCAACACTTTAAACCTGGCCTGAATTGGATTCACTTTGAAACCCTGCAAATCCCTCAATCCCTTCTGAATCATCAGTGAACCCATCATACCCTGACTGCCGAGCTACAACACTTGTGTCCCAAGCATTTTGAGTAAGGGGTACCCAACCTCTGTATGATGAAGTCAAAGACTGTGCCCATTCTCCGCCACAGTGATGAACATCTGTTCTTCCTATGAACTCAAAGGCTACTGAACATTCATCCTTTAATCTCCATGTTAGTTTGGTAACATTTCATCCTTCCGTTTCATGGCAGGATATATTTTCCCTTTCAAGGAAATGAGGAATTTTGTTTTGTCTTCTCTCATGAACATTCGAGGCTGACTGAAAGCTTTTGATGTTTTAGGAACTGATGCCCTTCAAGAGACATTCGGAAGAGCCATGGGTGGGATTGCCACACATTACAGCTGCCCTCCCTAAGAAGGTCAAAGAAGAAGAGGAAGAAACGGGAATCTCTGCAGGTAGGAACCTCCTCAGCCCACTTGTCCCACAGCAATGTGGACAGCATGCCAGGCCTCAAGTCACTCATTATGGTGGCTGGGAAGATAATGGGAATTGTAGTTCCACCCACCCAGAGATTTCCTTCACTCTCATTGCTGTATGATTTCAAAGTAACAGTATAGTAATGGTGAGGCTGTAGATCATATTTTTGTTCTTGTGGTCCACCGGTGGTTCATGGGCCACAGGTTAGGAATCACTCCTGTACAAGGTAACCATTTCTGTCTCCTGCTGTTCCCTTACCTTTCTTTCCATTTTTAAAAATTCCAGAACACATTACACAATTACATGGAATTAAAGAAGAAGATCCTCTCCAAAGTGGTCCTGAGATGGTGGAGCTGCCGGCCCTAAGACTGCAAAGATCAGAAGGCAATGTATCTCAAAGTAACCAGCAGACAGATGGAGATGGCCTCCGTGGAAATAGTCTGGCCAAGAGAAGTGGTCAGTCTGCTTGTTCCAGGAGAAACTATGGAGAAGCAGCTGCTCGGAAAAGGAAAGACAAATGTTACCCCTGTCCTGAATGTGGGAAAATCTTCCGCCAGTTTGGGGTCTTGATCACACACCATCGGCTCCACACGGGAGAGAAGCCCTACAGTTGTGCTTACTGCGCAAAAGGATTCAGTGATTATTCCAATCTGATTGCACACCAGAGAACCCACACTGGGGAGAAGCCCTACCGGTGCGCTGACTGTGGGAAGAGCTTCACGCGTAGCACAACCCTCACCATTCACCAGAGAGGCCACACGCGGGAAAAGCCCTACCCGTGTCCCCAATGCGGGAAACGCTTCAGTCGAGCCTCAAACCTCACCATCCACCAGAGAACTCATGCAGGAGACAGAAACTTGCCATATTGTGGTCCAGAATAAAATAAAAGCAGTGGAAAAGGGGCAGGGAATTAAATGCACAGCTTGAACTTAATAGTGTGGAAAATGCACAAAACTTTGCTGGTAGAAGGCTAGACTCCTTTCCCAATGGAGCAATCAATTCAAATTGCAGGAAAAGAGATTTTACCTAAAATTATTCCTGAGAGTAAGAGATGTTCAAAGGTGGAGTGTGCTTCCTGAGAGTGTAGTGGAGGTTTTTAAGCAGATGCTAGGTGGCCATCTGTTGGGAGTGGTTTGATTGTATGTTCCTGCATGGCAGAATGAGGTTGGATTGGATAGCCCTTGGCAGGCATGTAGCCGGGGGGGGGGGGCTTCAGCCCCCCCCCCGAAATTCTCATGGTGGTCCGCGAGAAGGCCTTACTGGTACATTATTTAAACTGTTATGTTTATTCATATCATGATCTGATCACCATGCTCAATATATCCCATATGCCTGGGGGTATTGGGGTAACAATACAAAAGGTTTGCTAGGGTAGACCCTCTTTCACTCAGACTCACCCCCCCCCGAAACAAAATCCTGGCTACGGGCCTGTTAACCAAAATCCTGGCTACGGGCCTGGCCCTGGGGTTCTCTTCGACTATGTTTCTGTGATTTATAACCTGCAGGGAGGATTCTGGAAGTCAAAGTTTGACTTTTCCAAGTTCTCACTCAACCTATGCAAAGAGGGAAAGAGGGCCCAATGGTTGGAAGGCTAAGATGAAGCATTTTCTTATATATTGGAGGAAGTGGGCTGCCCAACTTTCATTTTGTTAAATGTTGCAATCAACCTGAATCGTATTGGAGTAGCATATTAAGAGAAGAGCTGTGCAAGTGGTTGCACTTGGTTTGTGTCGGTGCAACTGATTATTGTGCAAACAAACATAGCTACCTCCCTTCCTTTTTTTGACTTGGTGGATACAGAGCGAGTTGGCTATTTTTCAAGGGATGTGCTTTAGCTTTTGGTGCCCACTGTGCCACTGGCTGAGGAACTGTACAATCCAGCAGAAGGATGTTGGCATACATTTATGCTTTGCTTAAAGTGTTGATCACACTAGAGAAAAATCCAGTTAAAATCTGGTTTCTGTCTCCTGCAGAATTCTAGGATTTGTAGTTTGGTGAGGCTGTTAAAGACACCTTCCTAAACTATAAACCCCAGAATTCTGCAGGAGGCAGAAACCAGATTTTAAGTGGATTTTTTTCTCTAGTGTGATGAGCCAGTGTGGTGTAGTGATCTATGGTTTGATTATGACTCTGGAGACTAGAGTCATAATTCCCCATTCAGCCATGGAAACCCACTAAGTGACAATAGGCAAGTCCCCAGAAAACCTTGTGATAGGGTTGCTTTAAGTCAGAAATGACTTCAAAACATACAATATCCTAAATGTCTGAGGATCTCAAGCTGAGTATGCAGAGGCTGGCCAAGGGTTTAAAAGGCCGTGACTAACTGGGTCCCCTCCACGAAGGCGCATTCCTCTTTATCCTGGAAATATGTGAATAAATGAGCCTTTACATAACTGTTCTATAATGGTGTTTCTTCCAACTTCTTCCACCCTCACCCCACAAATAAGAAAGAACTTTATTTATAGAACTTTATTTATCTCTGTCAGAAGCAAATAGAGAATAGTTATAATCTATAAAAATCCATAAAGTTGAAAACCTGGCATTATACTAAATTTCCTTTGACTGGAAGCTGGCCACTTGGAGTGCCTCTGGTGTCGCTATAAGTAGGTCCCCCATTGTGCATGTGGAAGGGCTCAGATTGCATTGTAATAGGTGGTCAATGGTTTGCTCTTCTCTGCACTCACATGTTATGGACTCCACTTTGTAGCCACATTTCTTAAGGTTAGCTCTGCATCTCATGGTGCCAAAGCACAGTCTGTTCAGTGCCTTCCAAGTCACAAAGTCTTCTGTGTGCCCAGGGGGGAGTTTCTTATCTGGCGTCAACCACTGATAGAAGTTCTGAATGTTTACCTGCCACTTTTGGACTCTGGCTTGCTGAGATGTTCCTGTGAATATCTCTGTAGATCTTAGGAGGCCGTTTCTTGATTTAAGTCATTGGTGTGCTGGCTGATATCTGAACAGAGGATGGGCCAGACATGTCAATGTCTTTGTCCTTTCATTACTGGCTGCTAGTTGCCGGAAGATATCAGGTGGTGCAATACCAGCCAAACAGTATAATTTCTCCAGCTGTATTGGGTGTAGACATCCTGTGATAATGCAGCATGCCTCATTAAGAGCCACTTCCACTGTTGTAACATGGGGAGATGTATTCCATACTCAGCATGTGTACTCAGCAGCAGAGTAGCAAAGCGCAAGGACTGATGTCTTACCTGTGTCTGGTTGTGATCCCCAAGTTATACCAGTCAGCTCATTTATTATATTATTTCTAGCACCCACTTACAAGAAGCAGTGCTTCTTGTAAGTCAGAGCACAGTCCAGAGTGACTGTGCAGCACAGGTATTTGGGTGTGCTGCAAATCTCCAGTGCGATTCCTTCCCAGGTAATCCTCAGACCTTGTGATGCTTGTCTGTTCTTAAGATTAAAAGCACATGTTTGCATTTTAGATTGATTAGGAATCAGCTAGTTTTCCATTTAATAGGCAGTCAGAGCACCTAAAGCTTTGGAGAGCTTCTGTTCATCCATTTCAAAGCTCCCTGCTTGAGCGGTGATGGCATGATCATCAGCATAAATAAACACTCTGTCTAGCCTGGCAGTGGCTGATCACTTCTGTAAATGTTAAACATTGATGGAGCTTGAATTGAACAATTCAGAGGTTGAACTGAAGTGTACATATTCTCCTGCATTCCCTATGCTGTGGCTTTTGAATGCCTTGCAGTATGGCTCCCCTATCCATACAGAATATGTATCTGAGCTATTTGGCTAATAGCAAACTCTATTGTGATTCCTCTCTAGGGATTTGCTAGGTCCTCTGGTATAGAAATGCCTGGAGGACCTCGAAAATTCGAAGAAGAGAGATATTTTGTTAACTGTTTCAGTAACACTGGGTGCCTGGCCTGCAGGAATGAGGGTTGTGTTGTACATCATGAAAAAAAAAATATCTTGCTTGTTTTTTTTAAAAAAGAAATAGACACCTCTGGTTCATTGTGGATGACAATGCCAGGCCTCCAAACAAATTTATTAAGTAAAATGTACATCAGGCAATTATCTGTTTGTAGTGTAAAGAGGAAACCCATTGTAGTACACAGATCTTCCAACTCTGCTTTGATCTGACCACACCTGGAATACCGTGTCCAATTCTGGGCACCACAATTGAAGGGAGATGTTGACAAGCTGGAATGTGTTCAGAGGAGGGCGACTCAAATAATCGGGTCTGGAGAACAAGCCCTATGAGGAGCAGCATGTTTAATCTGCAGAAGAGAAGGCTGAGACTTGATGGTCATGTATAAATATGTGAGGGGAAGTCATAGGGAGGAGGGAGCAAGTTTGTTTTCTGCTGCCCTGGAGATTAGGATGCAGAACAATGGCTTCAAACTACAGGAAAGGAGATTCCACGTAAACATTAGGAAGAACTTCCTGACTGAGAGCTGTTTAGCAGTGGAACTCTCTGCCTGGGGGTGTGGTGGAGGCACCTTCTTTTGAGGCTTTTAAATAGAGACTGGATAGCCATCAGTTGGGGATGCTTTGATTGGGATTTTTCTGCTTCTTGGCAGAATGGGGTTGGACTGGATGGCCCAACTCAACGATTCTAGGATTCTTTGACTCACTTGAAGTGTTTTGTGTCTTCCTGCTTGGCAGAATGGGGTTGGACTGGATGGCCCTTGGGTTCTCTTCCAACTCTATGCTTCTTGGCGTGCTTCTCTCCCAGTAGTACCATTCCTTGGACCTGGACAGATAGCTAAGGGATATGCTTTCTCCCCTTTCTGGTAGCGGCCGGGACTAAAGAAAGGCCTCAGAGGGGTATAAAAAGCCCCCACGTATGTATAAATGTGGGTCTTGTCTGTCACATTGTAAAAAGAAATCTCACCTTCTGAATAGTCTAGGAAAATCCCTACCCTAGTTGGCTTCACATTAATAGGGAGCAGCGTTGGACGGGAGATCACAGTTTTGTACTGGTCTCTGTTCCGAAGCCAAAGTCTCCAGAACCCGCTCAAGGAGGACATGATGCTCACTTGCCCTTTCCTGCTCACCGTTTCCCTACAGACTCCCAGATCCCACTCTGTACTCTCCCCCACTTCCACCTCCCAGTAGTGTCTCCCCGAAGTGAATCTCTCAGAGCCCAGGACGATAAGGTAAGTGTCAAATCTCTCTGTGTTATCCTCTTTGGCAAGCAGTTCCGGCTGTTGTTGTCCTCCATGTTTCACACTCTTCTTGTCCCCGGAGATTACAAGGCTGGGATGAGCAGTGGCAAGATCGAGAGTCATGTCCACTAGAAGATGGAGATATACAACAGGTGAGGAAAACAGTTTTGGGAAGGTGGGATCAGGCATTAATAAAACCCTAGAGAATGACATTTGTGATGGCTCATAAAGGGTTACTCAGACTGCATCGCTTGCCTAGTTTCCAACAGACCTCACAGCCTCTGAGGATGCCTGCCATAGATGTGGGGGAAATGTCAGGAGAGAATGCTTCTGGAACATGGCCAAACAGCCTGGAAAACTCCCAGCAACCCAGTGATTCCAGCCATGAAAGCCTTCAACAATGGTATGAAAAATCTTCTCTTCCATTAAGGAAACATTCATGATGGTTGCATGACTCTGCCCTTGGCCCACTTTTTTTTTTTGTCGTGTCAGGAGCGACTTGAGAAACCAAGTCGCTTCTGGTATGAGAGAATTGGCTGTCTAAAAGGACGTTGCCCAGGGGACGCCCGGATGATTTTGATGTTTTGTCATCCTTGTGGGAGGCTTCTCTCATGTCCCCGCATGAGGAGATGGAGCTGATAGAGGGAGCTCATCCTCCTCTCCCCGGATTCGAACCTGCGACCTCTTGGTCTTCAGTCCTGCCGGCACAGGGGTTTAACCCACTGTGCTACGGGGGCTCCATTGGCTCACTAAAATCTATGTTTACTGAAAATTCAGAACCCCCTGTGTGCTGCTTACCTTTGAATTTTGTCAGAAGTTCAATAATATCAATGCAAGGAATGTTATAAACATTCTTCAGCTCCACAGAAACGGTTTCTGTTTCTACTCGAGTCACATTTCTAGTTCTGCAAAGAACCACAGCAGAGAAAAATGCTGAAATGTAGTTTTTCATTGACAATGTTGAGAAAGACTGGAAGTATGTCTCACATGAAGTCAAAATGCCTTCACTCCACTGAACTCTGAAATGTGACCCGAGTCACATTTCAGAACTAACTCTTAAATGCTAGGAAGGGGTGGGGTAACTGTTCCCCCATTCCCTGTGTAAACACAAAGAAGGGATTTAACATGTTCCTTCCCTCCTGGGATCCTAAAGAAAACCCGTCCGTTGAAACTTATGCTTACTTTGTAAGGAACAAGCATTTAAAATAGTTAAGTCTGCAATGGCAATCATAAGAGCAGTGGGTTAAAGCGGTGAACTGCTGAACTTGCTGATCGAAAGGCTGGCGGTTTAAATCTGGGGAGTGAGGTGAGCTCCCGCTGTTAGCCCCAACTTCTGCCAACCTAGCAGTTTGAAAACATGCAAACGTGAGTAGATCAATAAGTACCACTCTGGCAGAAAGGCAATGGCGCCTCCCTGCAGTCATGCCTGCAGGCCTGTAGCCGGGAGGGGGGGGGGGTGTTAGGAGTTCAACCCCCCCCCCCCGAAATTTTTCAGGTTACAAAAAACCTGGTTTACTCATGAATTTTAACTGGTTAACCAAATCCCTATGCTAAGTCTATGAGATGCAAAAAATTAAGAGTCCCTCCAGAACTGCAAGCACTATCTCAAGCAAATATTGACCATTTATTCACACTGTCATTACTTGCAGCAATAGCCGATGTAGCGAAGCAACCAAGTTGGGGGGGGGGGTGTTGAATGCTCTCATTAAGGAGGCCAGACTTGGTGGAGGTGGTTGACAGGGGGAGCTGCAGGCTATTGAAGGCTGCTCTGCCCCCTGCTGTGCTCTTTGCTTCAGCGTGACCCTACCCCCCCCCCCCGCCCGAAATTTTCACCCCTGAAATTTTCAACCCTGGGAAGGTAAGGGCCCTCCATGCAGTCATGCAGGCCACATGACCTTGGAGGTGTCTATGGACGACGCCGACTCTATGGCGTAGAAATGGAGATGAGCACCAGCCCCCCAGAGTCGGACACAACTGGACTTAATGTCAGGGGAAAACCTTTACCTTTACCTATGGGAATCATATGGCCCTCCAGATTTTGGTGGACTGCAATCCCCAGGAATTCTAACAAGCACAGCCAAGAGAGAGGGATGCTGAGCACTGCAGTCCTACATCTGAAGGGCTGCATAATTTAACTTAGGATAATGATATTTTTGACTGGCATCTTTGCTTTAAGGAGGGAAAAGAAACTGCAGACCTCACCTGCTTAAGATGTTTTCAACATCCTTGTGAAAAGAGAAAAAGAAAGAAAAGAGAAACGTGGTTATTTTCTGAATTGAAAAAAGGGAATAGTTGAGCACTTTAAAAACATTAACCTTTTTATCCATGACTTGCTACCAACTGTACTTCGGTATTTTGGCAGTTTTAAAATATCTAAACTTTACAAAAACTCTGGGGAATTAATGGGGGTTCCATAAGCTGACAGAAGACTTGAAAGCACATACGCACACACACTTCTTTGTACGACTGCAGCCTTGAATCACAGAATGATAAGAGTTGGAAGAGACCTCGTGGGCCATGCAGTCCAACCCCCTGCCAAAAAGCAGGAAGGTGCATTCAAATCAACGGTCATGAGATTCTGGGAACTGGTTATGAGATTCTGGGTACTGGTTATGAGATTCTGGAGGTTGTAGGCCAAAGAAGTAACTTTCTCAAACCTTAGATTGACCAGAGATGGAAAAAGTTGTCTTTTTGGACCATGCAGGACAGAATCCCACAGTTTCAATTACCAGTGAAAAGGAAATTCTGGGAGCCGTAGAGTCAAGCTAGTAACTTTCCCCACCTCTGGGTCCTACAATGGGCCCTTGGTGCCTACTGTGGTTTCAGGAACCCCCTGAAGTTACCAAAATCCACAGATGCTCAAGTCCCATTATATGCAATGGTGTAGTAAAATGGTATCCCTCATATAAAATGGTAGAATCAAGCCTTTAAAATATTTTCAAGCCATAGATGATTAAATTCATGGATATAGAGGACTGACTACTACTGAGCTGTGGTTCTTTATTTAATATTTAAGGAGACATCTCCACTGTTGAAATAATGTGGTTTAACACCACTTAAATTTGGAAAACAGCATTCAAAATGTTTTGGAAAACACCATTTGGATATTATAACTTTTAAAGAAAAGCATGACCTTTCAGAGAAGAGCCAAAAACACTTTAGAATATATTATCTTGTGTTATACAACCAGATATAATTATGCAAGGCAATGGTTTCAGTTGTTAGACAGAATAACCTGTTATCTCTGATCTGTTAGGAAAATTTGCCAGTGCATAAAAACAGCACTGCTTTACAAGTGTTTTTCAGTGGTGCATATGTGTGTGTGTGTGTGTGTGTTTCTAATGTATTTGTTGAATGTTTTATGATGGTGATGGCATTGTATGGTGCTTGTTGTGAGGCCGCCCTGAGTCCCCCTCTGGGGGTGAGAAGGACGGGGTACAAATATAGGGGTCGAGGATAAACACATACATATTAGGCCTGGGTAACAACGGAAAAATTTGTTTCTAAAATCGATTCGTTTTTTGGGGGTTTTTGCGTTTCGATATTTAAAAGAATTCCGAAATTTTTCTTTTAAAAAGTTCAATATTTACGAAATTTCGTAAATGTTAAAAAAATTACGAAACATTAACGAAACAAATACGAAACAATAACGAATCGATTCGTTAATGGCGGACGCGACCGCGCAATACGCTAAAAAACCTCCAAATGGGACAGGGGGAACTTCTGAAGCTTCCCTCTCCCTCTGTTGTTGACTGTTGGTGTGATATTATAATTTTTTTTCACTAATTAAACAAAAAACAACTATAAAACTTGCCCCAGACATGCGGAAATAATAACGAAACGACCTCAAACCGATAACGAAACGAATACATAACAAATCCGAAGCATTTACGAAACGAATTTAAAAATTCGTTTCGTTTTTAAGTTGCTCCAGAATGGTTCGTTATCGCTTCGTTATAAAAAAAATAACGATTTTTTAACGAATTACGAATTAACGAAATGAAACCGCCCAGCCCTAATACACACACACACACACACACACACACTCTCCCATAAAACAACTTGTTTTATATCATGCACTCAAGTGACAAAAATGAAGTAGATTTTGATAAAAATAGCATATTTGGTTTACTTACAACCTTCATGTGTTCAGCATACACAGGTACAAAACTTATAAGTCAAGTTTCAGATATGCTTCCTGTGCCAGCCCGCCAGGGCATCTCTCTTATAACAAAAACAGCTGTCAACAGGTCACATAGTCAAAAGGAGAGTGTGAGAGAGAGCATGTGGGTTGCAGACCCTTTCATAACTTCTCATAGAGCAAAGGAAGCTGCATACCAGGACATGCATACAAACAATAATCAACAGGATCATAGATAAACGGATGACTAGAGAAGGCATGAAGAGGGTTTGTCATTTCTAACATTAAACTGATGTCACTCAATGTTATGGAATCCTGGGAGTTGTAGTTTGGTGAGGCACCAGCACTCTTGGGCAGAGAGGGCTAAAGACCTGGTAAAACTACAACTCCCAGCATTAGACATACTCCAGACACACTCCCAAATTACAGTAGCAATCTTAAGCATGAGCTCACCTTCAAGAGTCCTGTGTCTGTCTGCTGGCTTTTCTTCTTGACTTCTGCAACCAGCTGCTTCAAGGAGGATCTTTGCACTGAGAGCTGTTCCAAATTCTTATACAGCTTCTTCAGGGTCTGCCATTTCTCTTCCTTTAACTCTTTCAAGAGCCTTTCTTCTTCATCGATCAGGAAGTCGTGCAGCTTGTAAAACTCACTCATGATCCTCTCTTTCTGGCTGTGCACCGCATCCTTCATCACCATATCATCATCATCATAATCAGAAAGAAAGAAAGAAAGGTCGAAGCAGTTTGGCATGGCTGTCTTACACTACAGGGATCATCTTAGATACTTCGCAGCAGAGGATCAATTAATGCCTCCCTCATTTTGTATCCAAGAGCAGAGGAACTTTCCATCAACACTGGTAATAAAAAAGGCAATTCCATCACAACTGATGGAGGAACACAAGCTACAAGGTTACAAAGCAGAACTGAAGTTGTGTGCCATCAAACCGCTTCCAACTTATGCTGACCCCAAGGCAAATTTATCATGGGGTTTTCAGATTACCTAATAGGCTTCCATGGCTGAATAGGGATTCAAATCCTGTCTCCAGAGTCATAGTTCACCACTCAGAATTAATGCAGTTTGACAACACTTTAACTGGCATGGCTCAATGTTAGGTAATAAGAGGAGCTATTGTTTTGTAAGATCTTTAGTCTTTCCTCCCAAAGAGTGTTGGTCCCTCACCAAACTACAACTCCTAGGATTCCATAGCAGTGGTCAGTAAATTACTCCTAGTAAAGGTCAACTGGAGTGTCCAGATCATGAATTTTAAACTCACTATATTTTAATCTTTGTTCTGTGTATTTTAGCATATGTATTTTGTAGAAATATGTTTCAATATGTAGATTTTATATAATTATTATGCGTTTTTAGCTATGTTGTAACCCACCTTGAACCACGAGAGAGGCAGATAAGAAATAAAATTATTATTATTATGATTATTATTTTAAAAGGACATATCACTTTCTGAAATTTTAGCAAAAGTTGTGCAAAAGAGGGAATTTCAGCTGATAAAACTTTTCATGCCCTGCATGGTAATAATAATAATAATAATAATAATAATAATAATAATAATAATAATAAGGAGACTCAGGACAGATTACAGTACATATATACAGCAAACGTTCTATGCTGTTATACAATTAACAAGGATGGACAATACATAAACAGAGGTAAAGGCTTCCCATCTTTTCCATCTCAAGCATTTTGAGGCTGTGGTTGACTCCAGCCACAGGTGTGTGTGTGTGTGCTGTTGCTCCATCTTCCATGCCGAGGAGCTTTGTTGTCCTTGGATGCTCTCCTGTTTGAATCACCGGCATCTTTTATTACCTCCCTGCCAAGGCGGAATCTATTTATCTAATCACATTACTGTTTTTGAACTGCTAGGTGAGCAAATGCTGGGCTGACGGTTAGGAGCTCACCCCAACCCGGGTTGAACAGTCAACCTTTTGATTGGAAAGATTTTCTGCAGCTGGCAGTTTAACCTGCTGTGCTAAAACCCATCTATGCATCTATGTTTCCTACCTGCCTTTGCATAATGATAATTATTGTTATCGTTACATTTGCATTAGTATCCAATTTTACCTTATTGTGAAGTAGGTAAAGAAGCAGGCTGTTAATATAGGTTTGGGGGTGCATCTGCTATTGTATCCATAGTATCAAAATAAGAAATATTCATATTTACCATTCGGAAACTACTGCTACAATAACAAATGAAAAATTACCAATGTTAGCTCAGCTTATACACAGAATCATAATACCATCCATTTGTAACTGCTTGAGAGGATGGCAACCTATGCTTTGCAACAGTTTCTTTTTAAAATACAGACTTATCCTCAATATTTTTATTTCTGAAGAATTTTTGAAAAGCAACTATGCTGTCCCCAGTTTCAGAAATAATTCTACATCAGGACCTTACACCAATTTCCTGCCAAATTTTCCACTCTCTAGTTCCTATTTTTTCCTCTCAGTAGTATGCTGTTTGCAGGAAACTAGGATTTGCCTGTATCCTCCAATATAAAGAACTCACTGGAGACTTGAAAAGGGGCACTTGCCTTCCAAATAGCTGTTTTCTTCCCTTCTTGGTATGCCTGCTTCTCCGACTCTTCTAGATGCTCCTCGAGCAAATCTACAGCATGCTGCAATTTCCCCTGGCAAAAATAATAAAAAAATAAAAATGCATTTTTATTTATTGCATTGAAAGCCATCCTTTCTTTCCCCAGATCAATACTGGATGTTGTTTATCAAGTCTATAATGCCCAGTTTTGAAGTAAACTCTAGGAGTTCATGGTCTAAAGCTGGAGAAATTCTGCTCAACTGGCCCACTTTAGAGCAATTTATATCCTCTTTACTATGAGATTCCTGACAAATTGGAATAACATAACCAGGGTCAGCGTCACTCTGCTTGTTCACAAGGCAATAGAATCAGGTGGCAAATACTAAGGGAAATTAGGAGAAGTGCTCTTCTCTTATAGATGTCAGAGTTGGGTATGTTATATAGCCTGTCTTGTACTGTTGTGCACTAAACAGAAGCGGGATGGCCATCTGTTGGTAGTGCTTTGATTATGTGTCTTGCACAGCAGAAAGGGGTTGGACTGGATGGCCTTTAGGGCAATGTTTCTCAACCTGGGGGTCGGGACCTCTGGGGGAATTGTGAGGGGGGGTGTCAGAGGGGTTGCCAAAGACCATCAGAAAACACAGTATTTTCTGTTGGTCATGGGGGTTCTGTGTGGAAGTTTGGCCCAATTCTATTGGTTGTGGGGTTCAGAATGCTCTTTGATGGTAGGTGAACTATAAATCCCAGCAACTTCAACTCCCAAGTGTCAAGATCTATTTTCCTCAAACCCCACCAGTGTTTACATTTGGGCCACAGTGGTCCATGCTCTGGTTACATCCTGCATAGCTTACTGCAACGCACTCTACACGGGGTTGCCTTTGAAGACTGCTTGGAAGCTACAATTGGTCCAATGGGTGACAGCCAGGGAGCATACCCCCCCCCCCCAATTGCATCAGCTCCACTGGCTCCCAATCTGCTACCGAGCATAATTCAAAGTGCTGGCTTTAGCCTATAAAGCCGTAAACGGTTCCAGCCCAGCCTACCTATCTGAACATATCTCCCCCTATGAACCATCTCGGAGATTAAGATCGTCTCGGGAGGCCCTGCACTCGATCCCATCTTTTTTGCAAGCGCGCTTGGTGGGGTTGAGAGACAGGGCCTTCTTAGTGGTAGCCCCTCGGTTGTGGAACTCCCTCCCTAGTGATATTAGAGCAGCCCCCTCCCTCCTAGTGTTTAGAAAGAGAATCAAAACCTGGCTCTGGGGACAGGTGTTTGAAAAACAGAGCAGTGCAGAAATGTTAGTATGGAATATGTGCAATTTGACTACAGATTGATCTTTAGACTATGATTCTGGATGATATGATTCATTGAAATGTATTTTTATTATGCTTATTATGTTTTAATTTTTAACTTATGTTTTAATTGATGTTGTATTGTAAGCTGCCTTGAGTCCCCCTCAAGGTAGAGAAAGGCAGGATACAAATAAGGCAAATAAATAAATAAATAAATAAATAAATATTGAGTATTTGTGCCAGGTTTGGTCCAAATCCATCATTGTGCGAGCCCACAGTGCTCTCTGGATGTAGGTGAACTGCAACTCCAGAACTCAAGGTCGACGCTCACCAAACCCTTCTAGTATTTTCTCTTGTTCATCGGGGTTCTACATGCCAAGTTTGGTTCAATTCCATTGTTGGTGAAGTTCAAAATGCTCTTTGATTGTAGGTTAACTATAAATCCTGGCAACTACAACTCCCAAATGACAAAATCAACACACACACACACCCCAAAACCCCACCAGTATTAAAATTTGGGCATATTGGGTATTTGTGTCAAATTTGGTCCAGTGAATGAAAATACATCCTGCCTATCAGATAGTTACATTACGATTCATAACAGTAGAAAAACTACAGTTATGAAATAGCAACTAAAATAATGTTACGGTTGGGGGTCACCACAACATGAGGAACTGAATTTATTTATTTATTTGCCATATTTATATACTGCCTTTCTCAGCCCAAAGGCGACTTAACGCCCCACCTCCTCTATCTTGTTCATGCCCAGCATTATTTTTTTTAATTTTAATTACATTTGGCCCAGCCATAGATTTTAAATGTGTGTTGTGCTATTGTTCAATGTTTATGCTATTTATGTATTTATGTATGAGATTTATTTTAATTGCTTTGTATTAGTATTTGTATTTTGCTTTGTATTGTGGTTGTATTGCTTGTATTGATGTATTGCGGGCTTGGCCTCATGTAAGCCGTACCGAGTCCCTTGGGGAGATGGTAGCGGGGTATAAATAAAGTCTTCTTCTTCTTCTTCTTCTTCTTCTTATTATTATTATTATAAGGTGTCGCAGCATTAGGAAGGTTGAGAAACACTGCTTTAGGATCTCTTGCAGCTCTAAAAGTTCATGATTTTTTTTCTTTTTTGGAAAATGGCATTTATAACCTTTTGGAAAAACACCTTTTGGAGATCATAACTTTGAGAAAAGCACAGCCTTTCAGAGAAGAGCCGAAAACCCTTTAGAGTAGAATCTTCTCCTGTGATATACAACCAGATATAATTATGCAAGGCAGTGAGGCCATCCCTATCAAACCGAGACACATGAAATAGATGATTGATAAGTGCTCCTACCTTATATTCCTGGGCAGCATCTTCCACGGGGACCACAGTGTGAGACGCGTGGTCTCCTGATGCCTTGCAAACTTCACAGAGGAGTGCGGTTTCCTGAACACAGAACCAAATCAGGTTCTCGCCATGTTCAGAGCACTGTCTACATACTTCTTTCTCTTCGGTGTCCTTCTCTTCCTTTCCAACCTCCTCTTTCTTCACCTTGCTGTCATCCTCAGGGGACGGCTGGTTAATCGCTCCCTCGTTCTTCAAGTGATCAAAACAGAAACGGCAGAATGTCTGTCCCTTGAAGACCACAGGGATTCTGTAGGGCCCTTGGCAAAGGGCACAGACAGCGGGTCGAGTGCGCCCTTTTGATCTGGAGGCTGGCTTCGAAACAGGATTAGCAGCCATAGCTCCTTAGGAAGCAAAGGAACACTTAAGTTTCACTTTCCCCATATCTCCTTTATTGCTACAGGAGGCTTACTGTCACTCCCCTGGAACTGTGCCAGGATGACAAGGGAGACCAGACTAATGCAAATTACTGGCAAATCTATTTAACTACTGTTGTGCTTGGTTTAAAAACTCCTCGATAAACCCAGTAAGCTTGTTTGGAGGAGCCCTGACACCCTTAGAGATCCATCATTTGGATTGCCATGGCTCAATGCTATTGAATCCTAGGAGTTGTAGTTTCATGTCTTTAGCCTTTCTTGCCAAAGAGCAGTGCTGCTTCACTAGACTACAACTCTCATGACTCCTTAGCACTGAGTCATGAAAGTTACATGGCATCAAACTGCATTAATTCTACAGTGTTGATCAGTCACAGGCAAACATGGACCATTCCTAACAGCCTCAGACCCCTTCCTTTCCCCCCTCAGCTGCTTAAGCTTTAGTAATCTCACCTTAATTGGACCAGAGATTGTGCATGAAATCAGAAATACCAAAATTCCATATAAAGGAGTCGTGACAGTATCATGACATAACTACATCATTTGACACCCCTAATTGACTGGTAGGAGAGAAACAACAGGATGGACATAGTTGAGAACCTGGATGTGGGAAGAGGCCTAGTTGACTGGGAGGCATACTGAAACAGGAGAGCTCACCATTGCCACATTTTACTACTGCAGAACTTACTTCTACTTCTGAATGCAGTATGATCCCGTGTCCACAATTTCACTTAGCTGTGTCCAAAAAATATGTTTTCTCTAGGCATTATATAAGTCTTCTAGTGCAATTCTTCCACTGGAAGTTGATGACAGTCTGCTGCAAGCATCTTCTAGATCAGGCATGAGCAATCTTCAGCCCTTCAGGTGTTTTGGACTCCAACCCCCACAATTCCTAATTGTTAGGATCTGTGGGAGTTGAAGTCCAAAATACCTGGACGGTCAAAGTTTGCCCATGCCTGTTTTAGATCCTCTAGAACAATTCTATGGCATCTGGATTGTTGTGAGTTTTCCAGGCTTTAATGCCATGTTCCAGAAGCATTCTCTCCTGACATTTTGCCTGCACCTATGACCTCACAACCTCTGAGGATGCCTGCCATAGATGCTGGTATCTTTCTGCTGGAAGTCATTAATTTCAATAGTATGTATTTGCTATTATCTATGTTTCACATTTCCATGGTAAGTTCAGGAACATATCCCCTGGGGCTACAGAGATGTACTGTGTTAGTTTCTGGGTGACAATAAAAAAAGATAGAGAAGGGGTATGTTAATAGGCCTCCCAAAAACATCCAGAAGACACCACAAAGGCAACTAACAGGGATGGCAACTTAGAATCATAGAGTTGGAAGAGACCTCATGGGCCATCCAGTCCAACCCCCTGCCACGAAACAGGAAAATTGATATTCAAAGCACCCCCGACAGATGGCCATCCAGCCTGTTTAAAAACTTCCAAAGAAGGAAGAGGCTAATCTCTTATATGTACCTTGGAAAGGACTATATTTGGCACACACCTCAGTCGTACTGTGCAAAAAGTACGCCTAAAATGTACTTGAGATATACTTTATCTGTACAATCAGCCCTCCACAATTGTGGGTTTGACAGATGCAGATGTGATTATTTGTGTTTGTTTAAAATGTTCTCCCAAGGAATTTCTTAAGTCTTCCAGCTTGTTTCTATGGTCGATTTCTGGAGGAAAAGTATTCCTAGAAAAGTATGTGTGTGTGTGTATGTGTGTATGCACTTTTTTGCCCCTAACCCCAGTGAATGTATTCCACACTGACTTGAAATGGGCTGGATAATGTAGTTTCTTAAATCCACTTAGAATGTACTTGAAATATACCTGGGAAAAGTTGATTATCTATACAGTATATACCTTAAATACATTAAAGACTGCTGCAGCTCCCTGGTGCCACAGTGGGTTAAACCGCTGAGCTGCTGAACTTGCTGACTGAAAGCTTGGTGGTTCAAGGAGCAGGGAGAGCTCCTGCTGTTAGCCACAGCTTCTGCCAACCTAGCAGTTCAAAAACCTGCAAATGTGAGTAGATCAGTAGGTACCGCTTCTATAGGAAGGTAAACGACGCTCCATGCAGTCATGCTGGCTACATAACCTTGGAGGTGTCATTGGACAATGCCAGCTCTTCATCTTATAAATGGAGATGAGCATCACCCCTCGAAGTGAGGCACGACTAAACTTAATGTCAAGGGGAAACCTTTACCTTTACTTTACCTTGTGTCAGCCTCAGTTTCTTGACCATTTTCCCACCTCGAAAGAAACTTGTCCCTGAATTTTTCATTCTCCGTTCTCATTCATGAAGTGTTTCTAATTAAATGATGGTAATTTCTGCACAAAATAATAGTTCACAGAAGTAAATACTTTTTCCCATTTCCATATTTTACTGGGAATGTTTCCCATGAATTCAGCCATTACTAAAAACACAAAAGTGATGAAACAAGGCATAGATTTGCTTTAAGGAAAAAGACATCCCTTTGCCCCCAAACCCCCACCCCAAACTCCAGAGCAACCCCCAGGTTCCTTCAAGCCTCCCTACACTAGACATTTTGTTATAGTCCAGCCTATTCTCCCCCATATTGCCCATTTGTGAGTGCATAAATGTCTGCTTCCCCATCACAAGGGACGCATTGCTTCTGTCCTACGAAGCAGTTTGAGCAGTTGTCCTCATAAGCCATGAGGAGGTAGATCTACTGCAGAATGTAGGCCTCTTTGCAGTTTTGACACCAGAAATACCTCCAGTGCACCATAATGCAGGGCAAGCACAGCCTAACAACAGCGCTGTCTCTGTAGATCTGGAGGTGGCCTTGGGCTTAAGTTCCTGCTGTCCTAAGAGATAGCAAGGCAAGGAAGGAAACTTGGCACAAAGACTGTCCATAATAAAACCAACCTCGGGTTTTTTGATTTGGTTTTCGCCATACAATATTCCATATTAAGGTCCAATCTCCAAGTATCCTAGCACTTTGAGACTTCAGGCAGAACATAAGAGGCTGAAGACCAAAATGCTTCCCTCCAGGAATGGAGGAGGTGGCACATTGAAGTCCAGACTAGTGTTAGCCCCCTATTCTTCCATCAGTCTGCTCCCGAGTAGATCAACTGAGTGGGAACTGGCTCAGAGGGGGTGTCTGTCTCCTCATCCCCCCAGAAATAGGTGACTAAGTTATCAGAATCCAGGATGGTGGCGGGCATACTCTTCGCTTTGACGGGGTTAAAGGGCACCCCGGGATGGGCTTTGTGGTGATGCCTGGCCAGGTGGCTCCTCTGAACGTAGCCCTTTTCGCAGTGAGAACACATGTAGGGACGCTCTGCCTGGTGGAGCATCTGGTGCCGGGTCAAGGTCGACTTGACGGCAAAGCTTTTCCCGCAGATGTCACAATGGTAGGGCTTGTCCACCATGTGGATTCGCTCATGCCTGTAGAGCTTTGACATGGAATAGAAGCCCTCCCCACACACTACGCACTTGTAAGGCCGTTCCCCTTGGTGCATCCGCATGTGCCGGCTGAGACTCCCGCTGTGCATAAAAGCCTCTCCGCAATCGGGGCAGACATAGGATTTTTCCTCCACTGGAGGGATGGGGAAAGGAAAAGGGACCGGGCACGGGTAAAGAAAGCTCTCTTCCCATGATTCATTTGTACATGGGCCCTCCTCTTGGTGGCTTCTCTGATGCCTGGTGACGCTGGTGCTACGGGTGAAGCTCTGCCCACAGTCAGGGCACTTGTAGGGTTTCTCTCCTGTGTGGGTCATCTGGTGGGTGAGGAGGTTCAGGTTGAGGCTGAAACTCCGCCCACAGTCCACGCAGGAGTAGGGCTTCTCCCCAGTGTGGGTCCGCCAGTGTCGCGTCAGGGTGGACTTCCTGTTGAAAATCCGGCCACACTCCGAGCAGGGGTACACCTGGCCCCCGGAGTAGAACTGCTCCTGGAACGACGCTTCAAAGGCATCCCCCAGACTGTCGACGGAGGCATCCCAATCCTCTTTCGGATATTCCTCTTGATACCCCGCTGGTCTAAAGGGGCTTTCCCACATGGGGTAATCCTCAGGTCCTTGGGGAATGTTGACTTCATTGGGGTCATCGAAAATGGTGAAATGGAGCTCCACCTGCTGGTCTGAACCATCTTGCTGAAGGACTTCCCCTTTTGATTCTCCATGTAACCTGTCCTCCACTGGTGGGGAATCTTTCTCCACCATTAACGGCTGCATGGGTTTCTTATTCAATCTAACAGGCCCATCCCAATGGTGTGCTTGGTAGTCTATCTCCAATGGCTCATCCAATCTAGAGTCACTCGCACAGAGTTTGCCCTCAGAAATCCCTCCTTCGGACTCCTCCAATATGGTGAAGTGCAGCTCAACTTGTTGTCCTGAATTTGGCAGAGGGTATGAAGCAGCCCTGGGCCCTTCGTCTCTCTCATCATCGTCAGGTTCTGGAATGACGTCTTCGAGTTCAGGGGAAGGAGACCGTGAGAGGTCAGAGTACATGGATTCATCATCTTGGGGAGAGGAGCTCTCTGGCTGTAGCTCTGCGTTGATCTCACAGTGCCAAAGTTTCCCTTGAGAAATGCCTCCTTCCGATTCTTCCAAGATGGTGAAATGCAGTTCAACTTGGGGCTCAAAGTCTTCTTCTTCCTCCTGTAGGCTCTTCCCTTTTGTGTCCTTCATTGTTCCATGCCCTGCTGGGAGAAACAACGACAGCATTCAGAAACCACCCAGGGCCAATGACTCACATGCACCATGACTGACCTATATGGAAACCTTGACTAGAGAAGTGGGAAATCTTAAACGTTGGGATCAAATTAGACTCCAGATAACTACTTCCAATTTTTGTGACTCAAACATTTGGTGGTTTCCCAAAGTCCTGGGGCCTGAAAAGTCAGTAGTAAGAGTTTTAAATAACATATGCTAGTATTTTCCACCCTACCATTTATCTTTTAGGGCTTAGAATAACAGAGTTGGAAGAGACATCATGGGCCATCCAGTCCAATCCCCTGCCAAGAAGCAGGGAAATTGCATTCAAAGCACCCCCAACAGATGGCCATCCAGCCTCTGTTTTAAAGCCTCCAAAGAAGGAGCCCCTGCCATACTCTGTGGCAGAGAGTTCACTGCTGAACTGCTTTCACAGTTAGGAAGTTCTTCCTCATGTTCAGGTGGAATCTCCTTTCCTGGAGTTTGAAGCCATTGTTCCACATCCTAGTCTCCAGGGCAGCAGAAAACAAGCCTGCTCCCACCTCCCTATGAATTCCTCTAACATGGTCCTCATCATGTCTCCTATCAGCCTTCTCTCCTGCAGGCTAAACATGCCCAGCTCTTTAAGCCGCTCCTCACAGGGCGTGTTCTCCAGACCCTTGATCATTGTAGTCACCCCTCTCTGGACGACTAGTGGCTTGTCCAGCACTAGAGTATAACCCATGAAAACTTCAGTGAATTGAATTCTGTCTTCAGCTGGAAGGACCTCCTCAACCTTGCACTGGTAACGTTATTGCTGTATCCAAACTCAAAGGTCATGAACATGAGAACAGGGCCTCCTCCATGAGCTCACCAAATATGTTCATCATCTAGTACATTCTAAACTCCTTATTGCACACAAATCAGGGCATGTAACATTTTCTGTGCCTTGACATTTGCAGAATCTGGCACAAGACTGTAAGACGATTGCAAAAGATAGCAAACATGTATCTAGTCTTATGGTTATTCAGAGATAACAAATCTATATCTCAAAGATGCTGGAGTCATGCCACAGCCTTTTCAAGATTGGTTGCCGCACACACAAAAAGTTAAAATTCTAGATGGTATCACTTAAAAAAGCACGAATCAAAGGCTGCTGTATATTCTAAACTTAATCATTCTCACTATATAATGATATTAAACCACAACATGCCCTTGTTGTGGCACACAAAAGAGCTTGACTTCCATTCTTGTAGTGACTTGATCAGCATTTGATTTTATCAGGGGAATCTTAATAACCTAATTCATGCGGATGTTGGTTTGGATGTATGCAGGCCAAACACAAGAGAATTTGCTGCCTCAAGCGAAGCAGCAAATACGTAGCACCCGACTCTATAAAGTCATGGTGTATATAGCGTGAAACCAAAGCAATTGATTTTGGCACTTGATTCAAAAGAAGAAGAAAAATCCCACAAGTATGTGTCTCTATATCACCCAGCAGTAAAAGGACAACAATAATAAAACTAACAGATAGCAACTATTGCAAAACCAGAATCTCCATCACCTTTTAGAGAAAAATAGGATTCACAACCATTTAAAAATCATAACCTTTCGGAAAAGTATGATCTTCTGGAGAAGAGTCAAAAACTCATTTGAATAAAATCTTCTCTCCAGAGGTATATAACCACATGTACTTATGCAAGGAAATTTGATTCTCCAGCTATTAAACTGATAACCTAGTTGTCTCTAATCTGTTAGGAATAGAGATTATGCCAATGCACAAAATATAGCAGTTCTTCCAAAGCCTTTTTGTTTCAGTTGCCTAAAAATACACCTACTCTCCCATAAAATATCTTGTTTCTATATCATGCTCTCAAGAGACAAAAATGAAGCAGACTTTGTTAAAAGTAACACATCTGGTTTACTCACAACCTTCATGTATTCAGCATACAGGTACATAACTTGTCACTCCAGTTACAGATGGATTTGAAGTGGTTTCTCTGTGCAGATAACACAGGGCACCCTTCTTACAATCAACAGCAACATGAATTTGCTGTTAACAGGCATCATGTCTGAGCTGATAAACGTTGAGCACTAGATTGTTTTTAGGGACTGTGATATATAATGGACGGTTTAATTGTTTTAATTGTTTAATTTGTTAATTACTGTTTATATGTTGAATTTGTTTTACCTTGTTGTTGTGCCGGCATCAAATTGTGCCTTTTTGTAAGCCGCCCTGAGTCCCCCCCTCGGGGGTTGAGAAGGGCGGGGTAGAAGTGCGAGAAATAAATAAATAAAATAAATAAATGTCTAATGATGTCTCTGCTCTAAAATGAAATCTGAGCTCTGAGCTATCTCAGATCTGATCATGTGGTCTGCAGCCCTTCCCACAACCTCAAGAAACATAGAGAGCAGGGGAAGCTGCATACCAAAACATACATATACAATACAGTAAGCAAACAGAATCATATAAAAAACAAATAACTAGTGGAGGCTTGAAGAAGGTTGCTGTTTCTAACAACAATGTGCTGCCTTTTTGTCAGACTCAAAATCTACAGCCAGAGACGACTGTCATGTATGGTCTGTTTGCAGGGTCAGCAATGAACATGTGACAAAATGTAGTAAGGATTTGGAAAGGAAAGATTTTGGAACCCTAGGAGGACAGCTGAAATGAAATGTCAGCATGGATGTACTAATTAATAAAGAGGAAAATAGTGTTAAAAGCACCAAAAGGTTGGGGGCACTGTTTCATTGGGTGAGCCACTTCTGCTCCTATGCCATCTTCTAATTGCTGCATGACAATAACAGGTATGCCCAAAGCTCGAGGTGGGTTACAGAATAATTAAAACACATAAACATTGTAAAAACAGCACAAATACACATACTGAAATGTACCATATATACTCAATGCTCCAGTTCTGTGGAACTCATTGCCTCCATATATTACAGCAATGTCGGAGTTGCAACCTTTTGCAAAGGCGTTCAAGACTTGGCTGTTTGGCTGTGCATTTAAGTAACCAGATCAAATTTTGCCATAGTTACTGCTGAATGTTTTTATGTTGAATGTTTTTATGTTGAATGTTTTTATATTGAATGTTTTATATTGTGTATAAACTGTTTTAAATTGTAAGTCGCTCGGAGCACCTTGGTGGAGAGCGACTAATTAAGAAATAAAGTGATGATGATGATGATGATGATGATGATACTCAAGTATAAGCCAAGTTTTTCAACCCTTTTTAAGGCTGAAAAAGCCCCCCTCGGTTTATACTCGAGTCAAGGTTTTTTATTTGCTCTATTTATTATTATTATTATTATTATTATTATTATTATTATTATTATACATGTACATTACTTTACTCTATTATTATTATTATTATTATTATTATTATTATTATTACATTTAGTATTTTACTCTATTATTACTGTTATTATTACATTTCCAATATTTTACTCTATTATTATTGTTATTATTGTTATTATTGCATTTATTACTTTTACTCTCTTTATTATTATTGGAAGGATACTTAAGCACATTTACATTGAAGAAGGCTAGAATAATGGTTTAATAAAAGTTGGACCATCTTATTTTAAATTACAGCTTTATGTAAATATTCAAAAACATTTAACCTACAGATGCCTCAATTAATGTTATTTTATTGGTATCTATTTTTATTTTGAAATTTACCAGTAGCTGCTGCATTTCCCACCCTCGGCTTATACTCGAGTCAATACATTTTCCCCTGATTTTTGCGGTAAAATTAGGTGCCTCGGCTTATATTTGGTTCGGCTTATACTCAAGTATAGATGCTATTTCTATAAAAGATACATATTAAAATGTAATTCTATAAAATACATATGAAAATTCACAAAACAGAGATTAAACAAAGGACATGAGTTTAAGATTCATGCTTAAACACTGGCTTTAACTGCCATGGCTCAATGATTTCGAGTCCTGGGATTTGTAGTTTGGTGAGATACCAGTACTCTTTGGCAGAGAAGGCTAAAAACTTTGTAAGACTACAATGCCCATGATTTTACAGCAATGAACCATGGCAGTTAAACTACTGTCAAACTACATTCATTCTGCAGTGTAAGTGCACTCTACGACATTCAAACATTCAATTAATCAATGTGCATTGCAAATGTGTATTACTTAAAATATTGCATAAAATTACCTTCAGCCTATATGTATATGGTGTACATGAAAATGCCTGTAATAGTTGTAGAAATATAGAGTTGAAAGAGACTGCATGAGCCATCTAGTCCAACCCCCCTGCCATGCAAGAAAAGCACAACCAAATGCCCCTTGAAACTAACACTAACATTCAAGTGTTAGTTCTTAAAACTAACACTTGAATGTAACAGGAAATATTAACCGATTTAGTCACTTCACTTTTTCTTGCTGTTTTACTTTTGTAAAGTAGTAAAAGCAGAAAGCAAACGTGGTGTTACTGTATTGGATAATATATACATAGTTAAGGTAATTCCAGTTCACTATATTACTTGCAACATGTTAACTTCCGAGTTCTGTATCCTTTGGAGTACAAAATAATTCCACCACTTTATTCTAAAGCTTCTCCTTCTGGATCTCTGGAGTAGTTCCAATATCTAGGGTGCTACTTAAAGAGAAAACTGTATTTCATCACATAATTGTTGCCACCGCATATAAATCACACCCCCACTTTTGGGGTGCCAAAATCGGTATATCTTATTTTCCTCACATAATAGTCGCACCCACCCACCTGCATCTCAGAGCTATGGGGTCTTTAAGGAAAATCAGTTTTACCAATGTGTGCCTATGAGAGCTATGGGACCTCCCTCAGGGTGAAACTATTACGTGGTGGTGACTTGTAGCTATGGGGCTTCACCTGGTTGCAAAAAAAATCCTGCATAATAGTTGCCACGGCATAAGAGTCTCAACCTTTTTCTTCCCCCCAAAAGAGGAGGAAAGTGCTACTGTTATGTGGTGAAATATGGCATGTTTCGGCTGAGACCCTTCTTCAGGGATTTCCTCCTCCAAATACAACACAGTTGGTCCTGCAAAAGATAGCAACGGGGCCTTTGCTTTGGATTTGATCCATCTTCTTTTGGAAGGAAGACATCTGGTACGGCAACTGTCACAAACTTCATGCCAATCTCAAGTTTTACACCCACGCAACAGCAGAAATGGCTAATTCGCCAGTGGAAAAAAATAATTTTTCACATCAGGTGTTTATCAGACCATACAGCTTCCCAGGATATCAACTAGCTCACTTTACCTAACCACTGATATCCTTTACTGAACTTGCAGGCTGTCAAGAGGAATCATCTACCCAAGAAAATGTGTCCAAAGCCTCATGCCAACCTCCACTGTGGCAATGCTACTCAAAGTGGTGGTCTGTGGATTGGTACCCACCCACAATTTTGACTTATGGCAAGCCTATCATGGCGTTTTCTTGGCAAAATCTGTTCAAATTTTGCCTTTTTCTGAGGCTGAGAGTGAATTGTGCAAGGTCACCAAGCAGTTAGCCATGGCTGGGTGAGGATTTCCATAGTGGGTGGAGCCGCGGTGGCACAATGGATTAAACCACTGAACTGTTCAATCTGCTGACCTAAAGGCTGGCAGTTCGAAGCTGCAGGTTGGGGTGAGCTCCCGTTGTTATCTCTATTATTATTATTATTATTATTATTATTACTATTATTATTAATAATAATAATAATAATAATAATAATAATAATAATAATTTAAAGCATTTATATTCCACCCTTCTCACCTCGAAGGGGACTCAGGGTGGAGCACAATATAAACGGCAAACATTCAATGCCGAAACATACTAGATCATACACATACAAAAGCATTAAAATCACTTACTTTTATGTTAAAATCTAGTTAAAACTGTCTCAACCACCATATCGAATTTGGTTGGCATACTAAGGGTTCCTACTGCTGCCTCACTGCACAATCCCAAAGTCTCGGTCTCACAGCCACGTTTTTCTCATCCTTCTAAAGGACAAGAGGGAGGGGGTTGGCCTGATCTCATTACAAAGGGAGTTCCATAGCCGAGGGGCAATCACTGAGAAGGCCCTGTCTCTCGTCCTCGCCAAACATGCCTGTGATGGTGAAGGGACCGAGAGCAGGGTCTCCCCAGAAGATCTTAATCTCTGCAGTGGTTCATAGGAGAAGATGCGTTCGGACAGGTAAATTGGGCCAGGGCCATTTAGGGCTTTATAAGCCAAAGTCAGCACTTTGAATTCTGCCCAGTGGCAAACTGGCAGCCAGTGGAGCTGGTGTAACATGGGAGTTGTGTGCTCCCTGTACGCCACTCCAGTTATTAACCTGGCTGCCTCTCCCTGGACTATTTGAAGCTTCCGAGCAGTCTTCAAAGGCAACCTCACTTAGAGGGTGTTGCAGTAATCTAACCTAGATGTGCCTCTACTCCTGCCTACCTAGCAGTTTGTAAACATGCAAATGTGAGTAGATCAAAAGGTACTGCTTCGGTGGGAAGGTAATAAAAAGCGCCCATAGAGCCATGCTGACAACACAACTAGGAGGTGTCTACAGACAACAGGCTCCTCAACTTGGAAATGGAGAAATAGCACCTCCCCATGGCTAGATTTGAGCACCACCTCCAGAAACCCAGAGATGAAAGTGTCCTGTGTATTTGTATGTCATTGTTGTTTCACTGTATTAAAGGCACTGAATGTTTGCCTATCTGTCTATGATGCAATCTGCTCTGAATCTCCTTGGGGAGACAGAGCGGAAAATAAATAAAGTGTATTATTATTAGGAGCCCCCAGTGGCACAGTGGGTTAAACCACTGAGCTGCTGAACTTGCTGACTGAAAGATCAGTAGTTTGAATCCGGGGAGCAGGGTGACCGTGCAACCTACCTATTTTTCTCTATAGTTTGGTCAGCACAGCAACAGGGATGTTACGATCAGTCCTCCATATTTCCTGGGGTTATGGGCACAGGATCTCTGTAAAGGTGAGAGAAAAAAAAACATGAATAAAGAAATCTCTTTTTGTCTCAGAGAGCATCTCTCTGGGAATTTCTAGATATTCCAGCATGATTTGGAAGCTGATCACAGAATCACACTGGAGAACCCAGGGATTCCCAGAAATGTGTTCTCTTTAATTATATTTAAGGTCCTCCAGGATGACCAAAGGAAGATGCCTGCAGTCATACTGGAGGGTCTACAGCAGACCTGGGCAAACGTGGGCCCTCCAGGTGTTTTGAACTTCAACTCCCACAATTCCTAACAGCCTCAGGCCCTCCCCCCCCTCCCATTTTAGTGACGTGACACCACGACAACTGGGGGTGTATCTACACTGCCATACATCCAGATTGTCAAATCAGATAATCCACACTATCATCTTTGAACTGGATTCTATATGTCTACACTACCATATAATCCAGTTCAAAACAGATAATCTGGATTTTATATGGCAGTGTAGATCTAGCCTGTTTGATTCTTTATCAAGGGGGAAAGTGGGGTACACATGACAATAATTAATAACTGCCATTAATTTGAGACTCAAGCCAGACAGTGGGTACACAAAAGAAGGTGGGACCTGTAACAGGAGAGGCCAGTAATATACCAAAATTATTATTCTTGTTATTATTATCATTAGTTAGTATTATTTAGTATTTCTCCTTTCTCTCCAACAAATCCGATCTCTCCCACCATGACATGAGATTGTTAACTGCTCCTTTGATTAGGAGGGAAAAAAATGGAATAGAAATAAATATAATCCTAGCAAGTGCCATGAATTTAGAGAATCTATGCAGAAACTGGCTGTGCAAAATAATAACAACAACAACAATAATAAATAAAACATCAGAGGCATTCTCTCCTGATGTTTCACCTACATCTACAACAGGCATCCTAAGAGGTTGTGAGGTGTGTTGGAAACTAGGCAAGGGAGGTTTATATACCTGTGGAATAATGTCCAGAGTGGGAGAAAGAACTCTTTGTCTGTTGGAGGCAAGTGTGAATGTTGCAACTGGCCACCTTGATTCGCATTGAATAGCCTTGCAGCTTCAAAGCCTGTCTGTTGCTGCCTGGGGGAATCCTTTGATGGGAGGTGTTCGCTGGCCCTGATTTACTCTTGTCTGGATTTCCCTGTTTTTTGAGAGTTGCTCTTTGATTAGCATTTAATGGTCTTGCAGCTTCAAAGCCTGGCTGCTTCCTATCTGGGGGAATCCTTTGTTGGGAGGGAAATTCCAGTCAGGAAACAGTCAGGCTTCGGACCAAGTTAATTGTAGAACTCAGATTTGATTTGGCCAACTAACTGAATTTGCACTATTTTAAATGGTTTTAATTTATATTAATGTTTTATCTATTTTGTAATTGCTGTTTTATCTGTGTGTGTATATGGGAGGCATTGAATTGTTGCCAGCTGTAAGCTGCCCTGAGTCACACTTCAGGGGTAGAGAAGGGCAGGGTACAAATATCTGAAATAAATAATAAGGGCCAGCTAACATCTAGCAGTTTGAAAACATGCAAATGTGAGTAAATCAGTAGGTACCGCTCCGGCAGGAAGGTAACGGTCCTCCATGCAGTCATGCTGGCCACATGACCTTGGAGGTGTCTACGGACAACGACGGCTCTTTGGCTTAGAAATGGAGATAAGCACCACACCTCAGAGTCGGACACGACTGGACCATGTCAGGGGAAAACCTTTCATAGAATCATAGAGTTGGAAGACACCTCATGGGCCATCCAACCCCCTGCAAAGAAGCAGGAATATTGCATTCAAAGGACCCCCGACAGATGGTCATCCAGCCTCTGTTTAAAAGCCTCCAAAGAAGGAGCCTCCACCACACTCCAAGGCAGTGAGTTCCACTGCTGAACACCTCTCACAGTCAAGAAGTTCTTCCTCATATTCAGATGGAATCTTCTTTCTTGTAGTTTGAAGTAATTGTTCTGCGTCCTAGTCTCCAGGGAAGCAGAAAACAAGCTTTCTTCCTCCTCCCTGTGACTTCCTCTCACATATTTATACATGGCTATCATGTCTCCTGGCCACATCATGAGGAGACAGCAAAGCCTAGAGAAGACAATTATGCTGGGGAAAGTGGAAGGTAAAAGGAAGAGGGGCCGACCAAGGGCAAGATGGATGGATGGCATCCTTGAAGTGACTGGACTGACCTTGAAGGAGCTGGGGGTGGTGACGGCCGACAGGGAGCTCTGGCGTGGGCTGGTCCATGAGGTCACAAAGAGTCGGAGACAACTGAACGAATGAACAACATCATATCTCCTCTCAGCCTTCTCTTCTTCAGGCTAAACATGCCCAGCTCTTTAAGCTGCTCCTCATAGGGCTTGTTCTTCAGACCCTTGATCATTTGAGTCGCCCTCCTCTGGACACATTCCAGCTTGTCATTATCTCTCTTCAATTGTGGTGCCCAACAAAGGTTTCCAAGGCAGGAAGCAGCCAGACCTTGAAGCTGCATGGCTATTCAAGGTGGCCAATTGCAACATTCACACTTGCGTGAAAAAAAACATTTTCCCCCCACCCTGGACATTATTCCACAGATATATATATCTAATTTTCCTGGTTTCCTACAGACCTCACAGCCTCTGAGGATGCCTGTTATAGATGCAGGCGAAACGTCAGGAGAGAATGCTTCTGGAATATGGCTGGAAAACAGTGATTCCGGCCATGGAAGACTTCGACAACACAATATTTTGAATTTTTTTCCAATGAACTTGGCAGTGAGTCAAACCAGAAGGGAATGCGCCAAAGGAGGTGGCAGTGGGTGCCTTTGGGGTGCGGGAGTGGGCCCCCTTTTGCTCCCTCCGAGAGCCTAATCTTTCCCCCTCTTGCCCCCCTGCTGTGTTCCCCCTCCCATCACAGCAATGGGGGCCAAGGAGCCCCTTCCTCTCCCTCATCAAGAGGCGGCCAGCGTCGCAATGCCCGGCCGCCGCCCTCTTTCTTTGGCGCACCTCGCTGGCCGCGCGACGGGAAAGCCAAGCAAGCGGTGCCAATGGAAGCTTCTCCCGGGTAGATCGGGGCCGCCACCGCCGCCGGAGCCTCTCCCTCGCTGGGCTTCTCTGCCTCTCCCTCGGCCCGCCTTCGCTCCGGATGCAGCAAGCGGCGCAGACAGGAAACCCATCCCGACCCCCGGCTGGCCGCAGACAGCAGACACACAAAGAGGGAGCGCAGCCTCGCAGTCCTTGGCGAAGTGGCCAGGGCCCTCTTGCGGCGGGAGAGAGAGAGAGGACCACACGCCCGGGAGACACAGCCAGGCAGAGGCACATGCCGGCCTTCCAGGGGTTTGGGACTGCAAGATCCTCCAAAGAAGACTCCAGCAATACATAGAGAGAGAGTGGGTTGTCAGATGTACAAGCTGGGTTTACAAAAGGCAGAGGAACAAGAGACCAAATTGCCAAATGGAGAAAGGCAGGGAGTTTCAGAAACACATCTATTCCTGTATTGTCCAAGGCATTCATGGCCGGAATCACCGGGTTGTTGTAGGTTTTTTCGGGCTATACCTCTGAGGATGCTTGCCATTATGATGATGATGATGATGATTATGATTATTAACTTTATTTGTACAAATAGAGTAAAATAATAAAAGTAATAAAATAATAATAGAGTAAAATAATAAATGTAACAATAATAAAGAGAATAAAATAATAAAGGTAATAATAACAATAGTAAATAGAATAAAATAATAAAAGTAATAAAAATAATAATAGAGTAAAATAATGTAAATGTAATAATAAAGCCTCTTTATTTGTACCCCGCTAGCATCTCCCGAAGGACTCGATGCGGCTTACAAAGGTCAAGGCCTCAACACACAATATAACAGTACAAAAAAACCAAAGCAAATTAAAAATAGTTAAAGCAATATAAACAACAAGCAATAAACAAACACTAAGACACAATAAAAACTGGGCCGGGCCAGAGTAATGGGTACAAGATTAAAAGTGCTGATGTGACAGGTGGTATATAAGGCATTATAGGGCAAGTGCAGAGTGCGGTGTGCAGCAATCTTATTTCAAGTAAAGTGCTTCTGGGACTTGGTGTTGGAGATTTCCTAGTCTGGGAAGGCACATCGGAACAGCCAGGTCTTCAAGTTCTTTCTGAAGACTGCCAATGTAGGGGCCTGTCTAAGATCTTTGGGGAGGGTGTTCCAGAGACGGGGGGCCACCACGGAAAAGGCCCTGTCTCGCATCCCCACCAGACGCGCTTGCGACGCAGGCGGGATCATGAGCAGGGCCTCTCCAGATGACCGAAGTGAGCGTGTGGGCTCGTAGATGGAGATGCGGTCCCGCAGGTAGGATGGTCCCAACCCGTTCAGGGCTTTGTAGGTAAGCACCTGCACCTTAAATTGGGCTTAAATTGCCATAGATGCAGGCGAAACGTCAGGAGAGAATGCCTCTAGAACATGGCCATATAGCCCGAAAAAGCCTACAACCCACATCTATTTCTGTTTTATTGACAATTCTAAAGCCTTTGACTGTGTGGATCATAATAAATTGTGGCAAATTCTTGGTGGTATGGGGATCCCAAATCACCTTGCCTCACTACCTCTAAGGATGCTTGCCACAGATGCAGGCAAAACATCAGGAGAGAATGCCTCTAGACCATGGCTATATAGCCCAAAAAACCTACAACAACCCACCTTTTCTCTCTCCTGAGGAATCTGTATAAGGACCAAGTAGCAACAGTCAGAACTGACCATGGAACAACAGACTGGTTCAAGATTGGGAAAGAGTTGTATACTCTCCCCTAACCTATTCAACTTATATGCAGAACACATCATGCGATGTGCGGGGCTTGATGAATGTAAGGCTGGGGTGAAAATTGCTGGAAGAAACATTAACAACCTCAGATATGCAGATGACACCACTTTGATGGCCGAAAGCAAGGAGATGAGCCTTCTAACCAAGGTGAAAGAAGAAAGTGCCAAAGCTGGGTTGCAGTTAAACAACAACAACAACAAAAAAAAAAAACAAAACCCCAAGATTGTGGCCACTGGACTGATTGACAACTGGGAAATAGAGGGAGAAAATGTGGAGGCCGTGACAGATTTTGTGTTTCTAGGCGCAAAGATTACTGCAGACACAGACTGCAGCCAGGAAAATCAGGAGACACTTACTTCTTGGGAGGAGAGCAATGACCAATCTCGATAAAATAGTGAAGAGTGGAGACATCACACTGGCAATGAAGATCTGCATAGTGAAAGCAATGGTATTCCCCGTAGTAACCTACGGGATGTGAGAGCTGGAAGGCTGAGCAAAGGAAGATAGTACATTTGGCCCTCCATGCCTGGAGGTTTGTGTAACCATCAACAGGACTTCAATGTTTTCAATCATAGTTTTATTTCTACATGAATCTAAGATTACAGACGACACCAAATTGGGAGTGACTGCGAATACTCCAGAAGACAGGAGCAGAATCTAAACAGATTGTCCGTATAACAGTTGTGCCCATACCTTGGGAAGTCTAATTTGGCCACAGTAGCCCAAGCTCTGGTTACATCCCATATAGACTACTGCAACACACTCTATGTGGGGTTGCCTTTGAAGACTGTTCGGAAGCTCCAAATGGTCCAATGGGCAGCAGCCAGGTTACTAACAGGAGTGGTGCTCAGGGAGAACACAACTCCTCTGTTGCACCAGCACCACTGGATGCAAGTTTGTTACAATTCAAAGTGCTGGCGTTAGCTTATAAAGCCCTAAATAGTTCCGGCCCAGCTTACCTGTCCAAACGTACCTCTGCTTATGAACCATCTAGGACTGGATTGACCTTGAAGGAGCTGGGGGTGGTGACTGACAGGGAATTCTGGCGTGGGCTGGTCCATGAAATCACGAAGAGTCAGAAATGACTGAATGGATGAACAACAACAGGACTCCCGGTTCTCAGTTCCGCCTTCTTCGCAGATGCGTTTGACCGGAACGAGGGACAGGGCCTTCTCAGTGGTCGCCCCTCGGCTGTGGAACGCCCTTCCTAGGGATATTAAATCGGCCCCCTCCCTCCTAATATTATGTTAAAAAGTTAAAACTTGGCTTTTCAAGCAAGCATTTGCAAATGCGGTGTAACAGGCAAATATAGATCTACAGAACGACTGGACGATGCGAATTGGAAAATGATTTTAGTAAGGAGACGCTGAGGATTTATGTTTTTATTGGTTTTGTACAGTTTTTATATTATATGCGAAACGTTGTAGTTTTATGTTGTTGGGGACATTGAATTGTGCCGACTGTAAACCGCCTTGAGTCATCTTTGGGCTGAGATACGGTAAATAAATATGGCAAATAAATAAATAAATTAGAGAGATGATTGGCCAAAACCAACATAATGAAGTTCAACTGAAACAAAGGCAAAATACTCCACTTAGACAGAAAAAAAGAAATGCAAAGAAACAGAATGGGGGACAATGTCTGGCTCAATAGCAGTACGTGTGAAAAAGATTTTGGGAATCCTCGTGGACAAGTGTAACATGAGCCAACAATGTCATGCGGCAGCTAAAAAAGCCAATGAGATTTTGGCTTTCATCAATAGCAGTATAGTGTCTAGATCCAGGTAAGTCATGCTACCTCTCTATTCTGCCTTGGTCAGATCACACCTGGAATCACACTGTGTCCAATTCTGGGCACCGCAATTGAAGGATGTTGACAAGCTGGAATATGTCCAGAGGAAGGCTATTGATAAAGGCTCTGGAGAACAAGCCCTAAGAGGAGCGGCTTAAAGAGCTACGCATGTTTAGTCAGCAGAAGAGAAGGGTGAGAGAAGACATGATGGCCATGTATAAATATGTGAGGGGAAGTCATAGGGAGGAGGGAGCAACCTTGTTTTCTGCTGCTCCAAAGACTAGCATGCAGAACAATGGCTTCAAACTACAGGAAAGGAGATTCTACCTGAACATGAGGAAAAACTTCCTAACTGTGAGAGCTGTTCAGCAGTGGAACTCTCTGCCCCAGAGTGTGGTGGAGGCTCCTTCTTTGGAGGCTTTTAAGCATAGGCGGGATGGCCATCGGTCGGTGTGCTTTGATTACGATTTTCCTGTTTCTTGACAGGGGGTTGGACTGGATACCCCACGAGGTCTTTTCCAACTCTATGATCTAGGATTCAACACAAGAGGCGTCCAAGTGGCCAGCTACTGGTCAAAGGACATGTTATTTTTTAAAGAAGACTACTTTGTTATTGTTTCTGAGTGCATATTTTAATTAAGAGGTTTCAACGGAGTCTATACCTTTTGGGCAATTGCAACCACAAATTCTACTTCAAATAAACAAACCATCCTAACGAAATATATTTTTGTAGTGGCATGTCTTTATCATTGGCAGTTTAAAGACATGGTTATTCAGTTTAACAGCTGAGTTACATGTGTGCCATTACATTAATGGAGCCCCCGGTGGCACAGTGGGTTAAACCCCTGTGCTGGCAGGACTGAAGACTGACAGGTCGCAGGTTCGAATCCGGGGAGAGGCGGACGAGCTCCCTCTATCAGCTCCAGCTCCTCATGTGGGGACATGAGAGAAGCCTCCCACAAGGATGATAAAAACATCAAATCATCCAGGTGTCCCCTGGGCAACGTCCTTGCAGATGGCCAATTCTCTCACACCAGAAGTGATTTGCAGTTTCTCAAGTCGCTCCTGACATGACCAAATTACATTAATGCTTGTGAATATCACTTATTCAAAGGGTTGACTTCTAACAATGCCATGCTTTCTTGACTAGTGGTTTTCAAAAGGTGGTCTCTACATGTTCATGGAGATTCACATTTGCCAAATAGATGTGACATCATTTTTACCTTTTCAGTAAGGTTATGGTGCAGTTATTTCCAATAGGTTATGGAATTTCCAATAAGATCCAGATTAGCCTTTTCAATTAAAAAAATCAAGCCATGTATGGTTGAATTTTGGGGTGTTCTTTGTGGCTTTGAGTAATGTCTCCCATTATCAGGTAATTTTTAATATTTTAAATTGTTCATTTTTTTAAAAAAAGGAACATACGTATTTGTAACATAGGCTTAGCACAGGGGCAGGGCTTAGCACAGCAGGTTAAAGCATTAAGCTGCAAAAAAAAATCCTGCTGATCAAAAGGTTGGCAGTTTAAGCCTGGGTTGGGGTGAGATCTCGCATTCAGCCCCAGCTTCTGTTCATCTAGCAGATCGAAAACAGAAATGTGAGTAAATAGGTACCTTTTTATGGCG